TTTTTTAGCTCTAATTCAGAGTTGGCAATAGATTGGAAAAAGCTGTTGGAGAGAGAGTTTTCTAAAACTTCCAGAGCTGCTCAGCAGGTAACAGAAAAAAAGCTTTGCCAAGTGGAAAAGCTGAGAAAATAAGATGTATTTTACATAAAGTTCTAGTCATGGCTTAAGAAACCAAACTATCACCTGGCAAGCTTAAAGTCCTGAGTTCAATCCCCGGTACCGCCAAAAAAACCCCAAACTATCATTAATTTAAATATTAACTTCATAATGGTTAGCCAGAAGGTTTAACAAATGAATGATAGGTACCATAGAATTGTTTGTCAGAGATTTAACAATAATATTAATTTCAAATATTTTTTCAAAGATTTAAATGTGCAGATTCATTACATCTTCTCTAAAATCATTATAGAGCAAACTTTTTATTTTTTTTATTTACCAATCAGATACATGTATATAAATAAAATAATTTGTCTATGAAATTTTAAACATCTAATGATGAAAATGTATATTAACATGGAAACACAGGACTTGTTTTAAAATATATGTGTCACTTAAAAATGAAGTTACTTTAGGTCTATATATCTTACAAATGAATGAACCAAATTTCTGTAATTATTGGCATAAAACTATTTTTAGAATATGTAATAGTTGCATATATTTGAATTATATGTTCTGACATTGATTTTACTGGCTCTAAATACATGAAGAAGGGCCAGCCAAATAGCTCAGTGGATTAAAGTGCCTACAAGCAGGTGCAAGGGCCAGGGGTTCGATCCCCAGTCCTACCATGCCAGCCCTGCCCGCCAGGGTGTGCTGAGATGGCAACTGAGACTGGGCGTGGTGGCGCGCACCTGTAATCCCAGCTCTTGGGAGGCTGCAAACAGGAGAGTCACTGTGAGTCTAATCTAGTAGCGAGACCCTGAGCACCCTGTACACCCTTCCCTAAAAATAAATAAACAAACAAACAAACATGAAGGATTTAAAATAAAAAAGACAGGGTCAGTGAAATAGCTCAGCGGACTAAGCGCCTGCTTAGGCAAGCACAGGGACCAGGATTCAATCACTGGCACCACATGCTACACTGGCCCTGCCCCTGGGCGTACTGAGCCGGCCACTGAGAACCTGGCGTGGTGGCACACTCCTGTGATCACAGTGCTAGAGAGGCTGAAAACAGGAGAATCACTATGAATCCAAGCTCCGTAGTGAGACCCTGTACTAAATACATTAAAATAAATAAATATACCCAGAGGAAATGAAAGATCGTTTGAATATTTTTAATAGTTGTTTTTGTAGCACCATCTGTTCACTCTACACATTTTTATGGGAAACAGGGCAGCTACAGGGCTGCGATTCAGCCTCCAGTACGGTTGATCAGTCTTGTATTGAGGGAAATCACTGCCAGTGGAAACACGAGGCTGTGTGGGTCTGTTCTCTAGCATGAGAAAGAGATTAAACTTGAATCAGTTCATACAAGGCTAATAACATTTGTGGAGTTAACATATCATCTTCTAAATTCTCAAATTCATAGCTTAAATAGGATAGTAGTTATATGTTTTAAATACTGTAGCAAATACTAGGCTTGTGTAGAGCTGCTCTTTTCTGTGTGCATCTTTTTGGGGAAGTTTAAACCTCTGAGCGAATGGATAGAAACTAGTAACAAGCTCTTGTTACTGTGTCACCAACTGACTTCATTTTCTAGATCTTTATTGTTAGGATCAGTGAGGAATGTCGTAGTCAGATTTGCAGTTCCTGTCTCAGTGAATGGTGCACACCTGTGTGTCAAAGAAAAAGGTGATTGTAGCTCTGTGTGCAGGCTTGCTTCACCAGTGTTATGTAGCTCTGGACTCCGTGATCGCCATGGAACTACAATTTGTACTGAAATTATGTTTGTGTACAAATGTATTCAATGTACAAAACATGTCTCACTTTATTGAAGGGTAAATTAGAATAATTTAGGGTTTTTTCTTTTCTTTTTTGCAGTACTATGGTTTGCCTCATGCATGCCAAGCAAGCATCAAACCACTGAGCTACATCCAAGCCTTTTTTAAATTTTTATTTTAAGATAAGTTCTTCCTGAGTTGCCCAAGCTGGCCTTGACCTTGGGGTGTTCTTGCCTTCCAAGTGACTATATTTTTAAAATTTCTTGTTTTTCTTTTTGCATTTAAGCCAATGATGTTTCTACCAATAATTTTGTCTGGCTACATTTAAATACATGCTAAGCAGGAATAAAGATTGGAATATCAGGGAGCTGGTGAGATGGCTCAGTGGTCTAAAGCACCTACTTAGAACAAGCTTAGCAAAGCACAGGGACCGCGGTTCAGTCCCCCAGCACCACATGCCAGCCCCTGGTGGGCTGAGCTGGCCACACACACACACACACACACAAATAAATAAAATTTAAAAAAAAAAAGATTGGAATATCTACTTCTTGCCTTTCATTAAGATTTGTTTCAGGGTAGGAAGTCAATTGTTGAAATTTATTTTATCTATTTACTTTTTTGCAGAACCGAGGATTGAACTCAGGCTCTTGCGCTTGCCAGGGAAGCACTTATTCCACTGAGCCATCTCCCTGGCCTTCAATTGTTAAAATTTAATAATCGTTCATACCTGCACTGCATATTATTATATGTCTCATTGTTCTAGTTGCAGCCAAATAATTACTCAAGTGATGGCTGGTGCACTCCATATATGTTGTTGAGAACTTCAAAACACTGTCTCTTTGGTCTGAAAGAGCAAACAAGGCTTAGCACCAGATAGAGTAAAATGAAGAAATCTTTTTCTTGTCCTGGGCAGAGGCAGATGTGTTGAGGTGAAGATAGTAAAGTAGAGCTTTTTATTTTCATTTTAAGGTCCATTTTGATATAGGAATATAACTATAGTGAGGGTATTTAAATACTTACTGTAACTTATAAAATATTATAGTGAACTTAGCCTCTTAAGTTGTAAACTAAAAGGCATAGGTTTGGAGTACTGAAGTAGAATTCTTTTTTTCAGGATTTTGCTAATGTTATGAAAATGCTGAGAAGCTTAATTCAAGATGGTTACACTGCCTTGGTGGACCACCGTTGCCGCAGCGCCGCACAATCCTTTTCAGAGTTGCTTAACGGCTTAGATCCCCAAAAAATAAAGGTAAAATAGCCAGATCGTAATTTAATTTAACAATGTTCGTACACTTCAGATGAACTCAGAAGCAAATCAGACTCTTAATTGCTATGAATACATGTGCTACCTTGCTGAGATCGGGTGGGTCTCCACGTTGTGGTAAGCAGGTGATTGCACTCAATATATAATCCAAGTTTACACTCAAGTCTGTGACCACCATGTGGGTTCCTTACAGCCTCCTGGCCTTTTACTAAGAGTACTAAAGCAAGGATTTAGACTTACCTTAGTTGTATTTTTTTAAATCAGGCAAGAAAGTATGAGCTAATGCTCTCTTACATGCATAAGAGTATGGCTTTAGTTAAAAATTGTTATGATCTACTATGAATTATGCCTTAAGACATTTTCAAACATTGATTCTTTGTTTCAAATACTTGATAGCAATATAACAGCTCAACTTTGCAGAATATCTTTTCTAATCCTATTTGATCTTTAACACAATCATATTGATTAGTGAAATGTTATCATCCTTTTTTCTGCATAGTCACATTTTTGACTCAAGTATTTTTCTTGACAGCAACTGGACCTGGCTATGATTAACTATGTATTAGTAGTCTACGGACTTGCTATGTCTCTCCTCGGAATAGGACGATCTGAGGTAAGAGTGGAACTAGGGCTAGTACACACTTAAAATGTGACATGTAGGTACAATCTTGGTAAATTTTAGAAACATAATACTGAGGGAAAAGGACAGGTTGGAGAGCACAAACTTTATGACCTTGTATGTGCAGGTTTATACAGAGCAATCATATGTACTATTTATAGATATCTATGAGTCTTGTACAATTTTGAAAAGTGTGAATTATTCTTAATCAAATTAAGATAATGGTTTCACTTAGTGGTGGAAGAGGGAGATGGGCCTGGGAAGATTGGACAGGCGAGTTCCGCTTTATTTTATGTAGTTCTATTAGAAAAACAAAAGTAAAAGTGATCCTGTTAATTCTTTTTTTTTTCTTTTTTTATTTTATTGAGAAACAAATAGCAATGAGGCAATTTCAAAACTGATTAATAGGACAGTTTCAATAATTAATACATTGTACATTGTTATCTTCTTAGTGGTTATCCATAGTACAAGATGCAGACAGAATATCCTGCCCAAACACTAGTAGTACAAATCTTTCTTCTCACTGAATTAAGCGAAAGTAGCTGTATATCTATACTAACTATTCTGCATATACAGATACAAAATGGTCCTTCCTTTGTATCCCATGATCCTATTAATTTCTCCTAGTCCCAGGCTGTGTGTATGTGACTATTTGATTATTTCTCCAGTGCAGGCGTCCCATAGCTGCATGTCATTCGGTGTAAGTGTGAGCTCCCATAGCTTCCATAGCTCCTCCTGTCTGTCCTTTCCTGGTATGCCTACTAATCTGCATTGTTCAGCTTTATTTATGAATTCTGCTTCCTGTGGCGTGGTGTGTTCTGTAAATGCTGAGGTACTCTAAAATGACCTCAAGTAGTGTAACATCCTTTCCTACAATTTGAGGTCTCACTTTCCCTGGTTAAAAGGAAGCTTAACCCTAAATTCCTACATTGTTAAGATAAGAGTTGTCTTTTATGTTCTACTCACTCCTAGCAGTCCACATTTCCTGAGGTTCATTTTCCTTGTTCTTTTTTTTTTTGAAGAGAAACAAGTATTCCAATTTTGCACAAAATGTGAACAAAGGAAAACATGCTCTACCTGGACAAATAAAATATAAAGTTTTGCAGTTAAAAATGCTAGGTGAATATGTATTTCTAATGACACTGGCTGAACTGAAATGTAGCTGTTTCACTGTAGCATGTGAGGGACCAGAACACCCCACCAACTGCAGCGTAATTAAGTGCTTGGTGCTTTGAATGAACAAATGACTTTTCAGTGAGGGCATGTCTGACTGACTCTTATCTTTCTCCTTTGAAGAACAGAAAGGTAAGAGATATGCTAGAAACAGGAATTCTTCACAGCACTAGATTGTGTCACGAGTCAGGGTCCTTCCTGTGCACACGCTGGTGGATGTGCAGGTTGGAGCTCTGGCTGAAGCCCCTGCCGCACTTGCTGCACTCATAGGGCTTCTCCCCAGTGTGCACGCGCTGGTGGATGAGGAGCTTGGAGCTCTGGCTGAAGCCCTTGCCACACTTGCCACAGTGGTAGGGCTTTTCCCCAGTGTGTACCCGGAAGTGGATGCGGAGATCCGAGCTCTGGCTGAAACCCTTGCCACACTCGTAGCACTGGTAGGGCTTCTCACCAGTGTGGATGCACCGGTGGATGTGCAGGTTGGAGCTCTGGCTGAAGCCCTTGCCGCATTCCCCGCACTTGTAGGGCCTCTCCCCAGTGTGCACACGCTGGTGGATGTGCAGGTTGGAGCGCTGGCTGAAGCTCATGCCGCACTCCCCGCACTCATAGGGCTTCTCCCCTGTGTGCACACGCTGGTGGATGTGCAGCTTGGAGCTCTGGCTGAAGCCCTTGCCACACTTGTCACACTTATATGGCTTTTCGCCAGTATGGACTGCATGGTGGATAAGCAGGCTAGAGCTCCTGGTGAAGCCCTTGCCGCATTTATCACACTTGTAGGGCTTCTCGTCAGTGTGGATGGCCTGATGGACGAGCAGGCTGGAGCTCCTGGTGAAGCCCTTGCCGCACTGTGTACACATGTAGAGCTTCTCTTCTATGTGGCATCTCTGGTGCAGCAGGAGCTCCGACCTCTGACTGAAGCCTTTTCTGCACTGGTCACATTTGTGCGGCTTTTCTGCAGAATGGTGCTTCCCATAGGGACCAGCATCTGGGCTGGTGCGCAGCGACTTCCCACAGTCACCACAGTGACAGGACTTCTGCTCTGGGTGAGCTCTCTGGTGGCTGCAGCTGACCAATCCTGACTTGCATTTTGAAGTGTCTTTCTGATTGTGGACAAGGGGATCTGAAGATTCCTTCACTGGGCTACTTTCGAAAGTGGCTTCACCACCCAGTGGCAGCACTGGCTCTGTTCTGTCGGATGGAAGTTTAACTTGCAGGTTTTCAGAACCCTGGGCCATGGGAGGCCTCTTCTCCTTCACCACCTGCCTCTCAGTACTCTCTTCAGGTGCAGGGACACCTCTGCACTCCCAAGGTTCCTGGGGCTTATTCTTACACAGCTTCCTAGGGGAGTCTTGTGTGGCCATCTAGCTTGGGTCTGCCAAAGACTGGTCGTTTTCACTTTTAGTGTTTGAAAAGTCACTGAAGAATCACCACACTGTTCTTGTTTGTGGAATATGACAAGATGTTTCTCTTCACTTCTTGCAGGGATTGTGCTCTTTGCCTGAAGAGTCACAGTACAGTTCCCACTCCCAGTTGCTAACTCCCCATGTCCCCTGAAATCAGCTGCAGGAAACCTGTGTATATGACAGGTCCCAGAGCTCTTTGTCCCAAAGTCTCCACAGGATTCTGTTTCAAGTCTCCGCCAAGAGTGTCACAGCATGGTCCTGCTTCCTCTGGGAAGGGCCTAGGCTGCCCTGCTCTTCCTCCACATGGTCCACAGACATATCTTTGATTGTCACTGGTTCCTGGAACCTGATCATGTCCTCTGCTCAGGGAAAGGCAGATTCTCGCGTGGGTCTCGCCCGTGACCGCGGTCCCGCTCAGTGGCTGAGAACGCAGCATGGACGCACGTGCGCCCATCCGCCCTCCTCCCCCAGGCCGGCCAGGCCCCGAACGCCCCTCTCAGTGCGCGCAGCCCTCCTGCCTGGGCCCACACCTCTCCTTGTTCTTGATATAACGGATGAAATGTGTTCTATTAATGCATAATTCTATTTGCTTTGACAAAATAATAAATCTTGCCTTTTGTCTTATTACACTTGATAAAATATATAAATAAAATAAAATAAAAAAGGGCCAGCCAGATAGCTCAGCAGACTAAAGCACCTGCTTAGGCAGAGGGCAGTGGCTGGAGTTTGATCCCTGGCTTGCTGTGCTGGCCCTGCCCCCAGGGCGTGGTGGCACATTCCTGTACTCCTGGGGCTTAGGAGGCTGAAAACAGGAGAATCACTAGGAGTCCGATCTGTGTAGTGAGACCCTGTAGACCAGACCCTGTAGATCCTACACTAAATAAATTTTTTTAAAAAAGAATTGATGAAATAGTCCATTGTATTTGTGATTTACTGTAAAATAATGACTGAGTTTTAAATTATTTTTACTGGTACATTTTAGATACACATAATGGGAACATTATCATAGGGAATTTGTACCTATACATGATAATAGCTTACTTGTCCTAAGACTGATTTTCAAAAAATATACAGGTGTGGTAGAACTTACACATTTTTAATGGAGTTTCATCAGAGTAGTTCCTATGTGCCTATGTGCCAGTATAGCCCTGGTTTTGATATTTGTGGAATGCCTTCTTTGGAAATGTCCTCAGAACTATGTGAAAGTTCCATTCTAAGATGACTTTTCCATTTTCATCAACAATATCAGTGTTTCTTAGAACTAAGTATCTTGTGGATCTTTTTCCAGAAATAAAATTTTTCAAAGCATAGAGGTTTCCCACTCTTCACTAAATCTCCTGGAAGAAAAAGTAGGAGGAACTCTTGAAGACATAGGGGTAGGCCAAGAGTTCATGAACAAAAATTAAATCGCACGGGAAACAGTTAAAAGAATTAACAACTGGGACCTGCTCTTACTGAGAAGTTTTTTCACGTCAAAAGAAATTACCAACAAAGTGAAAAGACTACCCACAAATTTGGAAAAAATCATGACAAGTACTCAGACAAAGGTCTGCTGTCTCGAATTTATAAAGAACTAAAAAACACTATGGCTCCAAAATTTAAAGACCCAGTCCAGAAATGGGCATCTGGGATGAACACACACTTCTCAGAGGAAGAAATTAAGTTGTATGGTAATAACAATAAGCTTCTCTTCTGGAGGGTTAACAACCTACGTTTGCAGACCAAAATTAGAGAAAAAGGAGGGCTGCAAGGAAAGCCAACATTTTGGCCCTAGCCTTTCAAGGTCAGTGAAGACTCAGGACATATGAGAACTTGTACTGTAACGTCATGTAACTCAGTAGTGTCCCAAATTTTCTGATCAAGAATATGGGGCCAAAGAGGAAAGTGATTGATGATGTAGAGTGGGCCTAAGGAGAGTCACATGGAGAGAAAACATCCTCTCAGGCTTTCAGAGAGAGCACATTGGCCAAGCAATGACCGTGACTCATTCACATGGCTGACACTGACAAAGGATCTACAATCTGAGGTACAGGATCTCAGGATAAATCCTGAGGGGATTTCACTGAGTTTATCAGACTCAAAAGCTACAACTCTTGTTGCATAGGTCCTGCTTTACCTTGGTCTTAACCATCCAGCAGAAAAGTATAAAAACGAAGTATAAGAAGTAAAGCCATGGTGTTATGTTGAGCTGTAGGGGACTCAGGTCAACAATTTCTGACATTGCCAGTAGAGTGGAAGACCCAATACCATTATGGACTACTGGACTCTTTTAGAATATTTTCCTGAGTTAACACTCCTATAATATTCAAATAACGGAACTAAACAAGAAAAGGGGATACAGATGAATGTCCATTTTGTATCTGTATTCAAAATGGTTAGGATAGATATATAGTTACATTCTCTTAATGAATAGAGGGATTTGTTCTAATAGAGTTTGTAAATAGGATTTCATGTCCGCATTTTGTGCAGCAAGTAACCACTAGGAAGAATGTATGCAGTGTGTGAATTATTGAAACTGTCCTACCAATTTGTTTTGAAGCTGTCTCATTGCTATTTGTTTCTCAATAAAATTATGGAAAAAACAAAACAAAAAAAGACTTCCCACTCTTGAGAATGCTTAAAAGAATGTACTCCTTAGCTGGCAAGTGCAAGCAAGGTCCTGAATATGATTCCTTATACCAAGAAAAAAAAGAATGTACTCTCAGCTCTCCTAAGTTTTTACTAAAAAGCTGTTTCTTTAAAACAGAGCTTTGTTTATCTTTTATGAAACATTGTGGCAACATTGTTGGCATGCTAGTCTTCCCTTATATAGACACGGATATATGTTATGGTCTAGTTGCACCAAAATCAGTTTTATTTTGTTTTTTTAAGACCATGACTTCACATCTTTTAATATTATCCAGCACATACAACATCCCTAGTATGTACTAGTAAAGGCTCAAGTGGTTGGTTAAATGTTTTCAGGGCTGGCCAGATAGCTCAGTGGACTAAAGCACCTGCTTAGGCAGGTGCAGGGACCAGGGTTCAATCCTCAGTGTGCCATGTCAGCCCTTCCCCCTGGGCAGGCTGAGATGGCGACTGAGACTGGTCATGGTGGCACACACCTGTAATCCCAGTGCTTGGGAGGCTGAAAACAAGAGGGTCACTACAAGTCTGATCTGGGTAGTGAGACCCTGTAGACTCTATACTAAATACATAATAAATAAAAAGATAAACATTTCCAGAAGGGTTGATTTGGTTATATCCCTGAGTTTCCGTATGACCATCTGAGTAACCACATGGTGAGAAATTTACATAATTTACATTATTTCTTTAAAAATGAAATGCAGTGTGGTGTCAACACCCCTTTAATCCCAGCACTTGGGAGAAAGAGGCAGGAGGATCAGCACAAGTTCAAGACCAGCCAGGACTACCTAGTGAGTTCAAGGTCAGCTGGAACTATGTAATGTGACCCTGTCTCAAAGCAAATAGACAAACAAGAAACACTAAAGATATAATTTTCCATAGGAATTTACTAAAAAAAAAAAAATCAACTTTCATATAAAGTTGTTCTAGCATTTTTTAGAGTAAGTAATGGTTATTCTCCCCACTATTGAAGGAATTATATGAAGCTGAAAACCAGTTTAAAAGGATTCTTCAATTCTATCCCAACGAGGGACTTGACTCTTTGGCTTACTGTGGAATTGGAAAAGTATATTTGAAGAAAAACAGGTTAGTAGAAATGACACTAAACTCCAAATTGATATCTCACTCGAAGTTGATAATCCTTTTTCTGGGTTTATTTTGTTATCTTAATGTGTAGCATACTATTCTAATAGTGATTTACTCAGAGGCACTAGTGTCTCCCTGGGGTATAAGTTGACCCACAACTAATGCAATTATTGCAGAGTTGTGCCGGCCTGGGAAAGTAATATAATATATAAAATTATAGATATTGTGATAAACTGGAGTCTTTACCCTGTTAAGGGCATTTCATTCTAATTTCCAAATAACATGGTGAGTGTTAAAAGTCTAATATGCTCCTTTTGGCTTTGTAATGTGCCGTTTCTGGCTCAAAGTGCTGCTACTCATAACTTCATTAGGGTTTATAGTGGTTTTAGTTTTTCTTCACATGACTGTATTCCTATAGGCAAAAACATGTTTTTAAATTGGTAAATTATTTCAAGATTGGAGAAAGCATAAATTTTTATTGTCTCAAAAAAAAAAAAAAAAGAATGAAGGCTTGATTAGTCAAGTGGCTTAGGACTTTAACATTGTTTTGTTGAGTAGAATAGGTGCAGCTTTAGAATAAGTATGTACCTTGCTGTGATCAAGCCAAAGTCCAGGGCAGAGTTGTGTTTACTCTAATTACAAATAGCTATAATGTCATAATTTTTTAAAGAAAATGTAAGTTGTAGTGAATACTTTATTTAGTAATTTGTCCAGTGTGCTTTTCCTATAAGCTGAGGTCTAGTAACCTGCATTGTGCTGAAAAAAAAATCACATCACATCTCCGGTCTCTTGTTTCTCCCTAATAGATATCAAGAAGCTCTCACTCACTTTGAGAAAGCAAAAGACCTGATCTATCGTCTCCCTGGGGTGTTAAGTTGGCCCACAACTAATGCGGTTATTGAAGAGTCTCAGCCAAATAGAATAAAGGTAACTGCTTATTTCTTCAAGTATTTCTTGCTAGCTGTAGAAGCCCATCAGCATTGACTGGCTCAGTTACTGGAAAACACAGGTAGCAGCACTGGTGCACACCGCCCTGACACTCATTTCTCCTTCAAAAGCTAGTCACAATCACTGACGTGTTTTGTGTGTTTCCTGTTCCCAGTCACGTACCCTCCATCTATTACACCTTCCTTATAGCAGTCCTGTAAGTCAGGTACTGTAACCATTCCCATGGCACAGTTGAAAGATGACCTCAAGGTTAAGCAGCAAGAATATGATAGAGCTGGAATTGGAGTCCAGACATTCTGGCTGTATTAGTTTTATTTACAGAAAGGCACAGCATCATTGTTTCATTCAGTCACTGTCCCGACTGAGATGGTACTGAAAGACTTGGAAAATTGAATTCAGTGTCATCTTCAGACCAGTGAGGATTCTTTACTAGATCTGGAAAGGCTAACTTAGATGTGAATGGATTAAGTTAGGCCTTTACTTTCACTCCTGGTATACTCTTGCATGTACTCAATACTTGCTTTTTTGGCTGAAGCTTTTAAAATCACAGAGGTTTATTTATCTAACTTAGTAGTAAAATGATAAATGGCTTAGTTAAAAGTATGCAAGAATTAGAGCCATGTCTGCAAAGCAAATACAGAGGTCGTACCGTGTTGTGCAGCAGCAGCAGGGAAATGCAAGTAAGAGCCACCGTGAGACCCCACTCCGTACCCTCCAGGCTGTGGCTAGATAGCAGCGCTGATGAGGGTGGGGAAAATGAGAACATCCACACACTGCTGGTTATAACTTCCCTTCGGAAAAGTAGTATTGCAGCATTTTTCCTCAGCCAAACCGAGATACCATATGACCCAGAAGTTCTGCTCCTCAGTACATACAAAGAGAAGAAAACATGTTTTCACAGAAACTTGCACGTTAGTGTTTATAGCAGTGCAGTTCATAATAGCCTAAAAGAGAGAACAGCCCACATGAGCATCAAATGATAAATGTAAAGTAAAAGAACTGAGACGTGCCACACATGGATGAACCTCGAAAATAGTCTACTGAGTGTAGTAAGTCTGACACAAAGGCCACATGTCATATGATTCCATGTATAGGAAATCTCCAGTAGACAAACCTGTAGAGACAAACAGAAAGTAGCATCTCTAGCTGGGTGTGCATGCCTATAATCCCAGCACTGGGGAGGCTGAGGCAGGAGGATCCCAGGAGGCCAGGTGGGCTACATAGTGACACCTTGTCTCAAGAAAACAAAAACAAACAAAAGAAATAAAGAGAATAAATAAAGAAATAAATAAATTTTTAAAAAAGAAACAAAAAGGGCATAGCAAAACCCTCAGGGTTATCCTAAGAATTATTCAGCATTATTTGCTTACTGCAAATAAAGGAGATTTATAAGAGCTATAAATTATAAAATTAAGTTTAATGATCATAACAACAAAATCTTGATTTTCTGAAACTATATATACAAAATCTTGTTCAGTCTTTTCGCAGTGCACCTCTGTATCCACCTCCTCTCTAAAATAAAAACTTTAGAAATCATGTACATTGGTAACTGGCTAAAAAAAATTTAATGTTTTTAAAAATATTTTGATGGCAAGAAGCTCTTAGAATCACATATTTTTATTGCCAACTTGGTATCATTTTGATTCTTATGTTTTAGATGATCTTAGAGAAATTTGTTGAAGAATGCAAGTTCCCTCCAGTGCCAGATGCCATTTGCTCTTACCAGAAGTGCCTTGGGCTTTCCAAAATCCAAATATATGTGACCGATCCTGACTTCAAGGTAAATAAGTGGGGCATGAACTTGCAAACCAGGGCCTTAAAAAAGCACTGTGTGGGTGTGCTGACCTGCAAAGCCAGGGTAACTACTTCTTTCCCTCTGCTGGCTACTGTTGCACATAACTACTTCCTCCTTAGGAACATAGGAAACAAAATCATGATCTTTTACAATTCTAATATCTTGTAAAATTTGAATCCAAGAATCTAAATCTTTATGTGTTAGCTCATAAAGATAACTTCGAACGAAGTCTGCCACTTCATTGAGTAATTATAGTATTGGTTTATTCAAGAAGTTAGCAATCCACTGTCCCTCATCTCTTGGTAGTATATCAGATGGCATAATGTTTATTACATATTTGTTATACAGGATCATGAGATTATCAGCTGTGCAAGTGAAGATGTCAGTCAAGTAGGCATTTGGGGGTACAGAAATGTTATCACTCTACAGGGAGGTAGAATATGTAGTTACATCCCAGGCTGTCTTTGTGTTAATATTTGTGTGGTGAGCACATAAGTAAATGTGTATAGACACCTTTAAAATGTGAATTAAAATTTCTTGAAACCCCAGGGTTTTATACGAATCAGCTGCTGCCAGTACTGTAAAATTGAATTTCATATCAACTGCTGGAAGAAGTTAAAAGCAACAACCTTCAATGATAAAATTGACAAGGTAAAGCATGTAAGACTGTCTGGACTTATTGGTACACATACTGTATGCTGATTTATTTTCCTGGTAAAAAGTGCTTAGAAAAAGTCTTATGTGAATGTAAGTTACTTCTTGAGCATTCTAAGTGTGCTTAGAATTTAATTTTTTTTTTATTTTAAAGAAAATAGAAAAGTAATAGATAAAAAATTATAAATGATACACAATTTCAAAAACAAAAAGAAAAAGCCAAACAAACATGATGGTAGGTATTTAACAATGGTTGTCATATTGCACATTGTTGTCTTCATTGTAATTGCTCAGATTACCAGATAAAGCATGTAAAATTGGTCAAAATAAAACTTTTAACTGTTTATTAACTGCTGCCTTCAAAAAACCAATAGAAATTAGTAGTACAGTCATCTAGGCTATCCTGTGTATATACATATGTTGTTTTTTTCCCTTTCCTTTTTTTCTTTCTTTTCTCCTTTTCTTCATTCCAATTGTTCATTCCTATTGAGCAGTTTCTTTCCCTTTTACTATATCAATTGTACTTTTTAGGTTTTATTTACTCTTTCTGGTTCTTACACTAGGGAGATAATACGAGTTTTACACATGTGGGTCTGATTTATTTCACTTATGAGTGCAGCCTCTATTTGCATCCATTTACTGATAAAAGCCTCAAGTTTATCTTTCTTTATTACTAGGTGTTACTCCATTGTATAAAAATACCGCATCTTTTTTATCCATTCCTCAGCTGTTGAGCATTTGTGTTGTTTCCAAGATTGATCTATGACAAATTGCACTGCATAAACATGGGCGCACATGTCACTGTGGTATGATGTTTGCAGTTCTTTTGGAAAATTACCCAGAAGGGGAATAGCTATGTGAATGGGATTTCTAATATGAGTTTTTTGAAGAATCTCCTCGCTGATTTCCACAGAAGTTGTACCAGTCTACACTCCCACCAACAATGGGAAGAGAAAATAGGTAGAAATCTTGAAGGCACAGAGATAGACAGAGAGTTCATGAACAAAAACCAGACTGCATGGAAAATAATTCAGAGAATCAACAACTGGGGATCTCGTCTTACTGAAAAGTTTTTGCACATCAAAAGCAATCACCAGGCCTGAGGAGATAGTTCAGCCTAAGCACCTGCCTGGCAAGTGCAAGACCCAGATCAGCCTAAGCGCCTGCCTGGCTAGCGCAAGGACTCAGGTCAGCCTAAGCACCCACCCAGGTTCAATTCCATGTACCACTTGCTGTGCTGGCCTCAAAACCAGGCCTGGTGGCATTGGCAATCCCAGTGCTGGGGAGGCTGAGGTAGGAGGATCATTATGAGTCCAAGCTGTGTAGTGAGACCCTGTACCAAGTAAATAAAAAGTTAAGGATAAAAAAAAAAAAAAGAAAAGAAAAGAAATCACCAACAGAGTAGAAAGAAAGCCAACATATTGGAAAAAAATCTTAACCAACAGTCACTCAGACAAAGGACTTCTGTCTAGAATATATAAAGAATTTTTTAAAAATCAGCCCCCCCCCAGTTCAAAGACCCAATTCAAAAATGAGATCAATACACACTTGTCAGAGGGAGAAATACAAATGGCAAATAAATACATGAAAAAATGTTCAACAGCATAGGTCTTTTGAGAAATGTAAATTAAAACAGTGCTGAGATTCTACCTCAGCCCAGAAACAGTGGCTATCATAAAGAAATCAACTAATAACAAATGCTGGAGAGGCTGTAGGGAAAAATAAGTTATAATTTTATTTTTTTGTTGTTTTTTTGGTTTTTTTTATAATTTTAGTAATAATGTGGAAAATGAGTTTTTTTAATTTCATGAAACTATAAAGATCATAATTATAGAGCCTTTTAATAAACTAACTTTTGTATTTTATTTTTTTAACTTTTGTATTTTAAATGTTATGATCAAAATGTTTGATTTTTAAAATACAGGTTTTAAATTAGGTAGTAACCATTTTATCCTTCAGATACTAAAAAAATTAAGGTTTCAAAATTTTTATTTTCTTTTTTTTAAGTTTTCTTTTTGGGGCTGAGTGTGCAGGGTCTCACTATGCATCTCAGACTCGTACTGATACTTCTGATTTCTCCCTCCCTAGTGCTCCTATTACAGGTGTGCGCCACCACACCCAGACTTCATTGCTGGCTCAGCATGCCTGGGGGTGGGGTTGCTGTGGCATGTGGTGCCAGGGATTGAAACCTGGCCCCTGCTGTTGCCTAAGCAAGCGCTTAGTCTGCTGAGCTGTATTGCTAGCCTTCAGAATTTTTATTTACTACCAAAATTTGATTAGGTAACTTGTGTAAAGAGATCAACCTAATAAGGGGCCAGAGAGATGGCTCAGTGGAATAAGTGCTTCCTTGGCAAGCACAAGGGTCTGAGTTTAATCCCCGGTTCCACAAAAAAAAAAAAAAGAAAAAAAAGAAATCAACTTAAGTTGTTTTGGTTTTTATTTTTTTGGGGGGATGTATTAGTACAGGGCCTACAGGGTCTCACTACACAGATCAGACTCAGTGATCCTTCTGTTTTCAGCCTCTCAAGCAGTGGGATTACAGGCGTGTACCACCACACCCAGTCTCAGTCATCATCTCAATTTGCCCCAGGGCCAGGGCCAGTATGGTACTCCGGGGATCGAACCCTGGTCCCTGCATCTGCCTAGGCAGGTGTTTTAATCTGCTGAACTATCTGGCCAGCCCTTCAACTGAAATTTTTGACTGTCTTTTCTCATGTGTGGGATGGTAGGGTACTTGGTATCAAGATAATGATTACTAAGCTATTAGCTAGAAGAATATTTCAAAAGAATAAACAATTTTATGTCATACTTGCATTTATAAAATTTATTTTTTGGGGAAAAAAGTATTTTTAAAAAGTATTTAAACTGTGGGCTTTTTAAAAAGGCAACTGTTGGACTGAAGAGATAGCGAATGAATGAATGAATGAATGAATGAATGAATGAATGAATGAATGAAAAGTCAACTGTTTCCTACACTGCATGGCCATGTGTAGACTTAGTGGTTTTGGGGGAAAAAAGAAAATGATGGTATTAGGAACCTCTTAGCAGTAGCACTTAATAAGTTTAAAAGAAACAAACGCGAGTTTCCCTAGCTATAGACTCACTGCATAATCTTAGCCATTCCCATGGTTCTGAATACCTTCTGTGAATTAACATTCACTAAAATACACTGTAATTTCAACCCAGTATCTTATGGCTTAACATGGAGTGTTTGTTTCTTGGTTACATTACTTGTTCTGAAGTCTTGCATCTGTTGAGCAGGGTTGAGTTACAGCATCTTCATGCTTAACTGGCTTTGTCCTTTGTTTCTAAATTCATGTTAAAGAAAGGCCTTTTTCTAGAACATGTTCCTGTGTCAGAAAAAAAGTAGTGGGCATTCCATGTAGTGTATCTTGATGCTTTTGCTTAGATATGTTCTATGTCAGTGATGGTGAACCTTTTAGAGCTTTCAGTGGCAACGAACAGCCTGCTGCAGCATGTGTACCATAGGTTCACCACCGCTGGTCTGCGTCACAGCCGCTTGCATTGACCAGAGCATGGCCGGCCCCATTCTCTGTGATACATTCTTCCTACAGAGACGCCTGACAGTCATACAGCAGTGCTCGGGGATGTCCAGTGCTTCCCTGAAGGGCTTTCACAACATATTTTGACTGTTCTTGGGTAGCTAAAATGTGTGGACTTGTGCCACATAGATGTAACATTCTTCTTTTCTAAAATCAAATAGGATTTCCTGCAAGGAGTTTGTCTTACCCCTGACTGTGAAGGTATCATTTCTAAGATTATCATCTTTAGCCGTGGTGGTCGTGTTAAATGCGAAGTAAGTATCTCAGAAACAGAAATTTAATTAAACTGATAACCAGAATGCTTATGCTTTCTAAACATGACAAGTTTGTGGAAGATGTATTATTTGAATCTTGCCTTTTTCAGGAAAAAGTGAATTACACCATTTAAGAAACTACAGGAAATATTAGGGTGTGCATTGCCACATTCTTTTATTCCCAAATAGATAAAAGAAGCTTTTTTTTTTTCTTTTTAACATACTCGTTTTACTGATTTTACTCATTTTGATCACTTTGTTGTCTTAATCCTCTACAAGCTTCAGGGAACTGGTGGGAGGAGAGGGGGACCTGCCGAGGGAGCGTGCCGGGTGAGGCGGAAGGGTCCTGGTAACCGTGTGCACAGCTTATTGGGTCTTCTGCTTACTCATACTTTTTAAAAACTTCTTCCTAAAGTGTGTCTACTCTCTTGTCGCTCTTCTCAGTAAATTGTTGTGCTAAAGCTTTCTGAGCTTTTGTCTGGTTCAAAACATCATCACTGTTCTCTATCAAATTGAGCTTTGCCTGTGTGTGCTTCTGAAATACTTGTTACTTGTGGTTTTGTGCTTTATGTCATGGGAGTATGAGACAAATTTTGGATGTCTTTGTTTTATTTAAAGTTTGAACACAAGGTCATTAAAGAAAAGGTTCCTCCAAGACCTATTCTGAAACAGAAATGTTCTAGGTAAGATTTTTAACAATCAGTGGTTTTGTGATGTCTCTTACGTTATAGTTCTGTTAAATGCAGATTTCTAAATTATGCTGTTTTTAAAATTGGCTTGCATAGATACACCCAAATAAATATTTTAAAAATTATTTTTATGGATTTATAAACTACGAGTACTAGCCTGGTATGGCTAAATACTAAAAATTCTAATCAGTCATTATTTAGTGACTGGATCTATAAATAAAATTGTGGCATTTCATGTTACAAAATCACGTTTGATTAACAGATTGGGCGTGTAGATAAAAATTATAAATTTAGCTCTCGGTTGTTTAAACTTTAATTCCAAAGCACTTTTCCTTTTTTATCTCTCTTCAGCAAACATTTTGAACCAATGGCACCTTCTTACCTTGAAATCCTCAATGTACTGTCTAAATTATTCACCTCTCTGTATCTTTTTGTTTGAATAAAATAATTCCAATCCTTTTTTCTTTTCCTTTTGGTCCTGCTTCTTGTTTTTCATTCTAAAAAGTGATATTTTTATTATTTGTGACCAAGAAAAGTAAAAAGAAAAGATGGACAGAATTATTTGTTGAAAAGAATTCATTGTAACCAGACTAACCAAATTGTGGGTCATTATTGGGAAATGAAAGTAATATTTTCTTATGGGATCTTTCTTTGAGAGTTTGCATATACTATTTTACTGAATAATTTATGTTGCTGCAATTTAACTTATACAGTAATTTATTTACATGCAAATAACATATATACCATTTATACATTGTATTCTTAATTAGAAGTCAATTGTACTAGTTATTGTGTTTTATTAAACAAGTATTTCCTCTTTTTTTTTTGACTCAATCAACAGATTTTTACATTGAACAGGAGATGTAGGCCAAGTTCTATCTAAGAAGTAGTATGTCTCACTCACTGGTTGGAAAATAGTTTTTATAACTGGCAAAGGAAAATGTTCATGGGAGGTTGTAACAAAGATGAATTGTCACTAATTATAAATGTTTATCAGCCTAGAGAAGCTCAAACTGAAAGAAGACAAAAAAATGAAGCGAAAGATCCAGAAACAAGAAGCAAAAAAATTAGCACAAGAAAAAAGAGAAGAGGACTTAAAAGAAAGTAATCCACCCAAAAAAGAACAGCAGAAAGGTATGCAAGAGTCCACAACATAAGATAGTATATACAATTGCTTTATGGTATAATTATAAATGGGCCTCATAGTATTCATTATTGAATTGAAATATAGATTTGAGTTTGATTTTTTTAATACTATCACTAAAACACAGATTTCAGTTAGTATCTTAGTACTGTCTTCTGTCACTCCACAACATCAAGTGGCTTGGTCTGAAAAGCTCTCTTTTAGAATGCAATGCCCCAGGAGTCACAACTGCCCTGGTACAGACTCCAGGCTACTGCCAGAAGTGCAGTGGGCATGACACCTTGCCATGTGGCTGGATTTGAAGATAAATTGCACCTTCTGCTCTGTGAGTTTCAGTGTCAGAAAAGTGTTGAGCTCTAAATGATCTGTTTATTTGAAATAATACTGAATCCAAATAAAAAGACAGCTCAGAAAAGGTCCCAGAAAGATGACCTCATCCAGCCTTTTATTCCCAGATCAACATGGGACTCTCTTGTGGATAATGTTCCTGTTCCTACATACAGCGCACATGTTGGCCAGTGTGTCTGTTTTCAGCTTTCCCCGTTTTCTACTGTTGTGGCTATGTTTACCAGTGGAAAAGGAAATGTTTTCCCCTTGCTCTCTGCTTTTCATGGTATTACAGTCATGTTCCACAAATCAGTCAAAATGATGTACTGCATTTCTTTCAATGAATGGATATTAATTTTGCATGGTTAAAAGCTAACCAGTTTGTTTCATATAATTTAGTTGGTAACATTGGTTAGGATTGTTGAAGGAAGAAACCTTATTTTAAAGGAAATACATTTTAAACACTATTCTATGAATAATGTGGAATGAGGAGTTAAGCTGCTCACTTTGTTGGTTTTAATATAAACTTTCAAGCTTTTTCAGATATATTGTTAAATATTTCTATTTATAATTGAAAGTATCTTGAAAAAATGTATCTTGAATTATCTATATAAAATAACAGTGAAGAAGTCACTTTTATATTATGTAATGTTACATTATTTCTATTTATATCATTACAAATAAGTCCTGTTTATCAGTTTGACCTTTGTTATTTGTCCTTAGAAACTGCTAAGAATGTTCAGAGTTATCCCTTCCTTGATGACCGAATTCTACACTGCCTGAAGCAGTACTCTGACAAAATTCAGGCCGGTGTACCAGACCCTAACAAGATTCTCAAAGAATTGATTTCATGGAAAGTTTGGACCACAGAAGACTATGTAACGTGCTTCTCTAACAAAAATTATCTCAGCGAAGCAGTGGACTATGTCATTAATTACTTGATTCAAGCAAGGAATAGAGTGAATACAAGGATATTTCTACACATCCTGTGTGAGCTTGAAGAGGTGGAGCCTACAGCAGCCAGCTGGCTCCAGAAGCTTGATGGCTTTGGTATGTCCCTTACATTTTAGAGCAGTGAGTTAGTAGGAAGGATGAATATTGGCTTCGGATCCCTTTTCAGTTTCTTGTCTGTTTATTGTCACACTGGCAATTGATCCCTGGGCTTTTACATGGAGCTACATCAGCCCTTCAAATTTTGAGATAGTCTCACTAATTGTTGAGTTTTCCAGCCGAACTCCAACTTAGAATCCTCCTGCCTCAGCCTCCCAGAGATCTGGGATTACATATGTATGCCACCTTGCCTGGCTTCATTTATGACTATTAGCCTAGAAACTTCTATGGTTAAAAAATAATGTCCTCGGGCTGGTGAGATGGCTCAGTGGTCTAAAGCACCTACTTAGAACAAGCTAAGCAAAAGCACAGGGACCGCGGTTCAATCCCCCAGCACCACATGCCAGCCAGCCCCGCCCCCTGGTGGGCTGAGCTGGCCACACACACACTAAATAAATAGAAGAGTGAAGTCATCATTTAAAAAAATAATAATAATAATAATGTCCTCATAATTTTTAGGTTATTTTGTAGACAAGTTGCAATACTATTTCAAAAGGTATAAACAAAAGAAAGATTATTTAGGGAAACACGGATTCCTATTATGCTAAATGCTTTGTAAATGTGTAACCTGCATGATTGTGTACATATCAGCAGTTGTGTTAAAAACAAAATAATCTATAAAGTCCAGAGTCTATAAAGAAAATTTTAGAAAGACTTAATTAATAGGAGCCGTTGCTTAGGACCTGCTCAGGGAGGTCTGTGTCTCAAGATCAAGAGAAGAACATTCCTGGATGGAACTGGGTGACTGTGACTCACTGGACTACATAGCTGTTACTCTGCCCTGACTCCTGGTTTGGCAGGAGAAGGGATGGGAGTGCAAGATGTGTCCTAGGCCCCTGCAGACTCTGCCCAAGGCCTTGCAGGAAACTCAGCAGAGATAGGGCTTGTCTGTCACTGGGTAGGCCTGAGCACTGTTTATTGTGATGACCAGAATAAGAGCTGGACCCATGCACGGTACATAGCTGATTCAGGTGGTAGCTTTTTGGTGAAAAACAAGAACCTCAGAAGCAATATCAGGCACTGTGTGGTGTGGCACACCTGTAATCTCAGTACTCTGGAAGCTGAGGCAGGAGGATTTCTGTGAGTTCAAAGCTGGCTTGGGCTATCCACAGTGACTTCAAGACCAGTATAAACTACATAGTGAAGAGCCGGCCAAATAGCTCAGCAGATTAAGGCACCTGCAGCAAGGCATGGGTCTGGGGTTCGATCCCTGGACCTGCCATGCCAGTCCCACCCCCCAGGGTGCACTGAGCTGGCAATTGAGGCTGGGCATGGTGGCATATGTCTGTAATCCCAGCTCTTGGGAGGCTGTAAACAGGCAGATCACTATGAGTCCAATCTAGTAGTGAGACCCTGAGCACCCTATAGACCCTTCCCTAAATAAATAAATACTACATAGTGAGACTCTGTCTCAAAAAGAAAAGAAAAAATACTAGCAGCTCTCAGCAACAGTCCCAGGAATAGAACCTGGCAGGCTCTGCATCCATACTCAGCTGCTGAGTTCTACAGCCAGAAGGCCTCTTGGAATTGTAGGACATTGAAGATACTGTTTGTGCCTGTGGGGGCAGAGAAAGTAAGGTGGCAGCTAACTTGACATAGTCAGCCATGGCTGGGTCTCTGCAGGTTTCCAGTCCCAGAAAATTACTCTTAAGTAGTATTTACCATATATTATAAAGCTTTTGCTACTTTTATTTTTAGTTTGTAATTTGCTGCTTTTTAATTAATGGTCCCTAGACAATTTCTGCTTTGTTTGCTGACTTAAGCTGTGTCCTGTACAGGCGGTGATCTTGTTGTATTAGAGTCATCACGGAGAAATACATGGATTGTCTTCTTGCTTTTTTGGGGTGAGGGGGCAGAACCAGGGATTGATCTCAGGCCCTTGTGCTTGCCAGACAAGCGCTTATTCTACTGAGCCATCTCCCTGGCCCTCTTCTTGCTTTTTAAGAGGAAGTAAGGCTTTCCAGCAGGGATGTGTGAAGCTGTAGCCATCTTGTTTTCTGACCTAGAAAATGGGGAATGAAATCCAGAACAGTGACCACCTTGGTATTTGCAGAGGAGGGTGTGGAGTCATGACAGTTTGGGGAAAAAGGAGCCGTGTGAAGAGGGAAGTGTACTTGTTCTTTTAAATGCATTTGGGGAGATTTTTGCATATTATTGATGTTTTGTTGCTATGAAATATATGTAGGAAAACCTTGTTGTCATTTGGAATTATAGTCATTATGAATTAATGGGAAAAATAGTATTATATTTTTAAAGGAATTTAATGTTACTCTCATCTCCTAAGTATCATGAAAATGACTATAAGGACAGAAGCCTTTCGCCCACCATACTCAACTAATTAAAAAACTATTAAAATTTGTATATAGTGTTAACTGTTATTTTTAAATGCATAATAGCCTGAACAAGTCTGTCCTCAAGTGTTTATATGTTTTCACTGAAAATATAAGCAAACAGGAATGGTACCACTTGTGGGGAAGTGAAATGCCTGTGTGATTTTACAATAAATAATTTTTGCCTTTTTATGATTTGGTTTTTGTTTTTATTACAGGCTTAGACGCCGCAGGAACTTTTTTTGCTCGATATGGATCATTGCTTAAGGACCTTGATTTTACCATCATGGCTTTCCTCTGGAAGGAGAAATATGGTGATAAAGTCGACGCTATAGATGGGAAGACGCTTGAATATTTCTGCGAGCCCACATCACTGAAGGAAGCACGTTTTTTAATATGGCTTCTGGAAGATCACAGAGAGAGGTTCCCAGCACTGCACAGTGCTCTGGATGAATTCTTTGATATAATGGGTATGTGGATCAAGTTTAAACTCATGCTATATCTAACCCTCGAACAAAAACTAATCTGGGAAAGTTTTAAAAATACTAGCTAATTGGCTGGATTTGGTGGCACACGCCTATAATCCCAGCACTTGGGATGCCAAGGCAGGAGGATCACCAGGAGTTTTAGACCAGCCTGGGCTGCATAATGAGATTAAGGCTACCCTGAACTACATAGCACCCTCCCTGTTTGCAGAAAAAAAATATAAACAAATGTAGCTTATTTAAATGTTTAATAAAGAAAATTATAGGAATGGTTACAGTACAACCAGTTTATTAAGAAAGATAATGATTGACAATAGTGACTATTTGATTAGGAAAATGATGGAAGATGCTGGGGGCTTCAAAGGAAAGACTCAGTACCTGTCTTCTTCCTGTGAGAAGACAGCTGTGAAATAGGTTGTGTCTGACACAGCTATAAGTGTAGAAATGGAATTAGGCAACAGGGTGTTGAGCTTTGCTGAGGGAGGCTGGTGGGCACTCAGGGAGCCTATTGGGTAATGGCTTGGAGTTCAGTTTGGTGGAGCAGGTCACTGACAGGTAATTGTGTAGCTTCTCTTAGGCCTCAGTTTCCTTATCATTAAAATGAAATGATTTGGAGCCAGTGATCTGTGTGATCCCATTTTACTTTAAAATCTTAATGTTTATAGGTTCTAATTTTAATTTCTCAGCATTTGTGATATGTCTTCTTTCTATAATAATATCTTTCCCACTGTCCTTAACATCAGAAGTCTATTCATATAGTGTGAGTTAAATTTCATGCTGTTCTTTTAGAGGGTACATGAATGGGCCTGGCCTGGTCCAGTATTACAGAGTCCATGTGTACTCTGAGGAACTGAGAAGCTTGGTTTCATTGTGATTCGTAGGAATGCACACACACATGCACAGATGACTGTTAGCTTTTTAGGATTCTGCTTCCTGACTGGAAGTGGATGCTGCTTGATAGCCTCAATTTACTCTCCTCAGTTTCTTGGTGGTGGTGACATAGTCTGTCCTAGAACTGAGTTTGCAAAACCCAGTGCATGCTTGGATCTCATAAGACAACGGAAAATGATACAGTTTCCTCTCAGTGTAGAATTTTTCTGATTCTTCTATTCCATACCTAAAATAGTGCGTATGGCTGATACTGTTGCCCTAGGTGTTGTCATGAGATCAGAAGCCACCAACAGAATCACTGGATATCTTAGAAGATGTCCAAATCTAATAACTCTAGTGCCCAGATATAATCTTGCTCCAGATATTTTTTACTTTATCGCTGTTCATTTAAAGAATATGCTTCTGAAAACTTTTCAAATCCACTGCCCAGCTACTTGGAAAGTGGTCTGTGATCCACAGATCGTGTGTATCAAATCATCTAGTAATTTCACCAGTACTGTCATTGGCAATCCCAACTTTTGTCCTAACTCTGCATGTGAAATTCCTTAGAGAATTTTTATACAGAGCCAGAGGTCTTACCTGTCTATCCCACTTGACTAGGTGAGGGCCTTAGTTACCATTTAATAATTGAACTGTTGCACTGGCCTCTGAAATGGTCTCCATTCATCGGTTCTTCCTCCTGCATTGCCAACAGTGACTCTAGTATAGCCTCTGTCCAATCCTGTAACAACAGTTCTCTTTGAGAAATGTTTGCATCATTTTGTCTACAGGGTACATCCACATCATATGTGTGGGCTTATCATCGCCCTCCCTGTCTGCACATACGCCACTTCTGACCCACAGCCAATCCTGCTTCATCCTGTTCATGCTTGCAGTTCCCCAGAGCCCTTCCTGACCTTCCTTGGACCTCTGTCTGAGGACTTCAAACCCTAGCATCCTCGTTGCCATTTTATTTTGCTGTGGCTCCGTAATACTGGGTCTCTGTTGTTTTCTTTTTGCTAATAGAACACAGGCTCTTACACGTCTCTGTATCCCACACCCTGGTATAGATGACACACAGAAAGCACTCGGATTGTGCTGAACCGTGTGCTTCTGTCTGGTTAGTTTCCCACTTAGTCATTTTGCCCTTGACTTAAACTTGTGTCAGAGCCAAATAAGGAGCAGAACATAGTCTGTGCTCATAGTCACAGGGAGTGTCAAGGCTTTAGTAGATTGGACGGAGATGTATAGTATTTAGTTTCCTCACAGAATCTTGCATTTCCTCCTGCAGACAGCCGCTGTACTGTATTAAGGAAACAAGACAATGAAGTGCCGGTGAGTGCTAGACTACTTGAAACCCTGTGTTCTACTTTGCATTAGTGAGAGGCGCCGAGCCAGTGCTTACTTACATCCCCCGTGGCACCAGGGTCAAACAAGGAGCACTTCCGGATGATGTTGCTCTGTTTTCATTAGAACGTCACTGCCAGTCTTCCTCTTGGAATCAGAGCACCAAATTAGACAGTTTCCATAAAGTTTCACAGCCAATAAATGTTGATATTAGAGAGTAAAGGAGTTTCCCAGTCATCTCTTAGAACAAAGATAGAAAGTTATATTTAATGTTTAAGGTTACAAGCCGGGCAGATGGCTTAGTGGAATAAGCACTTCCCTGGCAAGCGCAAGGGCCTGAGTTCAATCCCTGGTTCTGCTAAATAAATAAATAAAATTACAATGTTTTGTGCTAGAAAAAAACCAAAGAGTCTGTTTTAAGTAGCTCCATATTGAGTTCAAGCTAAGAATAGTTCCAGAGGTGACTTTTAGTCTTTCTGCAGGCTCAGAAATTTTTCAGTTAAGAGGCATGCTGAAATTGTGAGAACAGCATTATGGGTATTTTCACAGAGAAAGACACTGTTGTACTGGTGTCAGGGATCAGTCCTTTATGTGGGAACCTCTTCATCTGCTCTTGCAGATGCTGCCCTGCTCATGTGGAGACCCAGCTGCACCCCTGCAGGGAGTAGAATGTGGCTTGCTTCATTCTGCTCCAGGGCCTGACCAGGTGCCAAAGATCTAGTTGGCTTAGTAGAAGGAATATCACTGGCATGCTGCTATCATACACAACCAGGTTTCCTCACAAAGCTGATTAAATACAACTTTTAGTTGTATCATTAGTCACTATTAACTTTATTCTCTTAGTGTAAGTCATGGCACTTGGGCTAATACACTTTGTAATACTATTTTTGTTAAATATTTTATATATTTTTAACTTACAACTAGCATGTGGAAATCATAGTTTATGTTGATCTTCATAATTGCTGTTGAAGGCTTACTGATTTTTTTTTTCCTGACTTTTAGATCACTTCTACCAAGACAAAGAACAAAGGCAAGAAGAAAAGGCTGAAAGATACAAAGGTATGGGATATTTTTTGTACTGATTCTTGTCTAAACCTCACAAAATAATTAGATATATGTGAGTAGATAAGAAACAATTCTTAAAATATAGAAAGACTTTCTTAGTAGAGAAAGACTTTCTAGGCCTTAAAGATTTTTTTTTTCTTTTTTATGTTGTTGGTACAGGGTCTCACTACACAGGTCTGGACTTGTAGTGATCCTCTTGTTTTCATCCTCTTCAACACTGGGATTACAGTCATGCACCACCATGCCCAAACTCAGTGGCCAGCTCAGCATGCCTTGGGAGGCAGGGCCAGTGCAACGTGTGGTGCCAGGGATCGAACCTTGGTCCCTGCATTTGCCTAAGCAGGCACTTAGTCCACTGAGCTATCTTGCTGGCCCAAGGCCCTAAAGATACTTGAATAGTCATACATTTCAAGAAAATTTATGTTCATATTACATATAATTACTCTTTAACAAACTTAACTTTTGCTGTCATGTATATTCTCCACATATTTCTGAATAAAAACACTGCCCATACTTTTTAAGACTTTATATACGTGGCTGTAGAACAGAATATCGAGGAAGGCTTTCTCTTCTGGGAAGATGGGCTCATCTCTTGGTTCTACTCAACCTTGAGTGAGTTGCCTTCCCAGGTCCCCATCTGAATAACAAGAATAACAGTGATACCTGCTGTTTACATACTTACGAGGTAGTGAGTACTTAATAATTATTAATACTAAAATGAATTTTATGAGATTAGCAAATGGAATATCATCTGAAGTAGTCATTACAAAAATGATGAGTTCTCATCATCATAGTGCCCTCAGGACTAACAGGACCCTTTCTTTTCACCTACGGCTCCATCCAAGCGCATGGGAGAAGCAGGGTGTCACTTTAAGGCTCATAGTTGATTCTCTGAGGCTCTAGCGTTAGCATCTGTCCTGGGCCAAAGGAGATGGGGTGGGAAAATGGGTGAATGTTGGGATAGGAGCAGCTTGGGCATCCAGACATAGCTTTACTTTGTGTCTTCAGCTAAAATGGGGGTAGAACTGAGTGAGCTGGTGCCAGGGTTTGTAGCTGAGTGGTGCAGTATAAGGTCCGGCCTGGCGACCGCAAGGTCCTGAGTTTGATTCCTGGTACAAAAAATTCAAAAAACAAACAACAACTGAGTGATATATAAAGTTTTAGAGCATTTGAAAGTGCTCTAAGTGTTAATTTGAGCTTACTTTTTGGATGTTAAAACTTGCGTTATTCTGTGTTTTTGTTTATAGCAAAATTTGGATAGGTTTTAAATATTGGAAGTTGACATAGTGTCTGTTATCTTTCAATGTTGGTAATTTTCTTTCATGACTTTTTAAGGTAGCAAATCATTGTTATTTTTTGTCTTTCAAACCAGCTGATGTTAATTGGGTCCGTAACATCTTCATTAGCACCAAATAATGAGACTTCACGTCAAGACTCTAAGTAAGTCCAATTTGTAAATTTTGTTTCATTTTTAACTTAGAAGTTTTTACTTAATAAATCATGTTAATTTAACATACTTTGAAACTTTATTTCTTTAACATCCCTTTCTAAAGATTTGCATTCATTATGACAACTGGATGTGATCCATCTTGATTTAATTAATAGTGTATCTTGTAGTTGTTAAGAACTAAAAATGAGTTCAAGTTGCAAGATGGGTGACATTTACTCAGTAAATATGCATTGAGAACCTCCTATGTGTCATGTACTGTGGGAAAATCATTCAGAGTATCTGGAAAGTAACATTTAAAGTACTTTGGTAAAGAAACTGTAGTGCTGCTCATTGGCATTCTTTTCTGTTCAGGAGAAAAGAAGGTATTTTGGAGGGTGCATATGACGTTATGTCTTAACTTTTTATGCCATTGATTTTCAGCACCATCTGGTTGAAACTAAGTTTTAAAGAAAAAAAATAGATGTAAGAAATAAAACTAAGAAAGAGTAACATTTTTATCTTGTATTACTTTATGGGTTAAAACCCCCCAAAATGTGGTTTTTTGTATGTCTTAAATGAGTTATAAGAATAGTGAACATTTTCAGTCATTTTCACTGGTTCAATGGAGGAGTTGTTTTAATAAGTCAAAATAATAAGAGCTGATCTGAGTCCATTTGGGCTACTAAAACAATCTCCTATAAACCGAGTGGCTCACAGACAACAGAAACGCCTTCCGGAGGCTGGGCCCAGCTCATAGTGCCAGCACATTCGTTGTCTGCTGAGGGCCCACTTGCAGGTTCAGAGGTCACACCTTTGTTCCATGTCCTCACGTGGTGGAGAGGACAAGGCTGCCTTCTGCAGTGTCTTTCCTGAAGGCACAGGTCCCTTTCATAAGGTCTCTGTCCTCAGGCTCCTAATACCACCTCTTGGTGGTTAGACTCCACTGTGTGAATCTGTGGGAACTAAAACAGACTAGAGCGGGACCTTCACTGTGACTGAGCGACACTTCAGTACCAGGCACCATTCTCAGGGTTTCACGTGGATGAACTCACTGGAGTCGACTCTAGCAATAGACAAGGCCGGTGACATCTGCAAGGTAGATAAGGAAACCAGCACCGTGTATGCGAGTGCTTTCCAAGGACAGAAACTTATAAGAGAGCCAGAATTTAAGCCCACATATCCTAAAAATCAATCATGCAATCAATCAATCACATATCCTGGTGTAGAGCCCACACTGAAGTTGATACATTTTCTCTAATTGTTTAATTTTAAATTTTATTTTTATTAGTGTATGTTTGCAGTACATAGCAATGACATTCATTTTGGGGAATTACTACATAAACATTTCACACCCTGATCATTTTTCCTTTCCTTTCCTACCACCCTTTCCTGTCCCCTTCCTCGGATCCTTTTTCCATTTGTTTGTAAAAGGCTACCTCTCTGTTTCCTACTACCTTTCTCTTATTTTGCTCTTCAAATTTTTATATTTTAGGCTTTTCATATAAAAGAAACTACAAGATATATATGTGCTGCCTTTGATTTATTTAACAGCATTATACTTTCAAAATCCATTCATTTTCCTACATATGACTCAAATGTATCCTTGTTTGTGGCTGAATAGTACTCCATCTTCTTTGTTCATCTGTAGCTTGCTTCCATAATTTAGCTATTATAAATTATTCTGCAGTAAACTTGGATTTACTGTAATATGATAACTAACTCTTTGAGGAAGATATCTAGGAAAGAGGTATAGCTTGGCCAAATGGAATTCCTTTTTCTAGGGTTTTTTGAAAGATTTCTATAGTGGATGAGAAAAGCAAATGAAAATAACAGTGAGATTCCATCTTACTTTAGTGAGAAGGGCTATCCTTAGTGACGTAAGGCTGGTGAGGCTGTGGGGAGAAAGGAAACCATCATTGTTGGCAGGAGAGTAAACTAGCACTACAGCTTTTTATTAATTACCTTCTATCTGCCTTAATCTCACTTGAGTTTGCATTAGTAGCATTTTTATAAAACATTTTGTCCATTTATCTCTTAACCTTTAATGAGTTGCAATTATTTTTTTTTCTAACCCTAACCCTAACCCAATGAGTTGCAATTAGTGCAATATTAATTTTTTTTTTTTTAAAGACTGCACTTTGAAGCAAATGTGCTTGTGGGATGTCAGGTGGAGGTCTTTCCTGTAACTGGAAGGAGGACTTTGCCGCATTCAGTTTTCTGGTGCACTTCTTTATAACTTGCAGTTATGCAATGTTTCCATCATTTTGTTTATTGCACTCAAGTTATTTTTCCAGCCTACCCAGAAGCTGATTATTCAAAGAATTGTTTCTTAAATCAGCAGACGCAAGGGCGACCCCACTGGCCCATTCGCAGTGCCTGAGCACCTGCGGCAGGAAATAGAAGAGTTTGAAGCTCTCTACGCACAGAAGCACGCTAACGAGTATGTTGAATGTTCGCATAAGAAGCTGTGGTACAGTGACCCAAAACAAAATGTGCTGTTCAGTATGAGTGAGTCGGGTGACATTCCTGCAACTGTTCTTAAGGAGGCTGCCAGTCCTTCAACTTAGGTCTCTTACATTAAAGGACTTGTTTATTGGCCTGCCACCCCTGCAGATAAATATTTTTAAAACCCTTCTTTCTGTTAACCAAAGTTAATTGAAGATATTTAATTAGTAAATTTAAAGACTAAATGGTCATTGTTTCATCAGTTTTAAGCTGCTTCGAAGATGCTCTCCTGCCTCCAGGAGATACTTTCTGCTTCTCAGGCTCTCCTGTTATGTCCTGCCAGAGCTGATGAACATGGCTTTTAGACCATGATCTTTTTATCATGAACTCAAGGGAAGTCATTTGCCAAAGAATATGATCATTTGCTCGTATTTTCTCTGTGCAGATGCATGCACAAGGCCCTGATGTCAGCCTCCAGCACTCCAACGGGGAAGGGAGATAAGGAAAGAAAAAATGGAGCGACCTGACCTCCAACATAAGATTAATTTAAAACCTAACCAGCAGTTGTAGTAATGTACCTTATGATTGCTTCAGTACTTGGGAGGCTGAGGCAGGGGGATCACAAGTATAAGTCCTCCGTGGACCACGTAGAGCCTGTCTCAAAAGAAAAGATAAAGAGCTAAGGACGTGGCTCAGTAAAGTGCTCCTGGGTTTAATACACCTTTCCCAAAAAAGGAAAGGAAAAAAAAAGCACTATTCTGAAAATCCTTTCATTCATCCATAGTAAGATTGTTTCTTCTATTTTTCCTAAATTCCATCATTTTAGTTATTTGCCATAGGTCCCTGTTTTTGATTTTTTTTTTTTTTTTCCTAAGAGTACAGTGCTATGCAAATTCTTTTTCCAGAGAACTTCTGGGTGACAATGTGGAAACGGCTACTTAGTGATACTGGTACCTCTTAAAATATGCTAGAATTTGCTTCTAGCATCCAAAGCCAAGCTGCAATATGTAGTTTTCAGTAGATTTTCTCTTAAAGAATTTATTGCTACTTTAAGTGAGAAGAAACTAAATTTACGAGAAAAAATAATTTGTCTTTATTTTGAGATAGAATGTACATCTTACAATAGTGGAAAAACAAGAAATTACAGAAAATTATATGTCAAAATGTAATTCTTTATTTTGTAGCGCTAGAGATTGAGCACAAGACCCTGACACTGAGCTATGTCTTTAGCCCTTCTTAAAATGTTTTGGACAGGCATGGTGCCTGTCACACACCTATAATCCTAGCGCTCAGGAGGCTGAGGCCGAAGGATTGCAGAATCCAAGGTGAATTTAAGGCTAGCCTGAACTGCTCAGTGAGGGCCTCTGCCCTGTAAGACGTTTCACTAGTGGGCTCAGTATCGCTCTTTTCCAGCCTCGGCTTGACAGCAAAACATAATTCTTTGAGTTTCAAAAGTAAACATGCGAGGTTAATCATTTTTATCCCATGCATTTATCTGCTGTGGCAACTGCACAGTTTTCTTTTGTGCCAAGAAAGTATTAGAGCTGGAGAGATAGCTCAGCAGCACAAGCACCAGCCTGGCAAGTGCAGGGTCCTAAGTTTGATTTCTGGTGCCTAAAAATAGGAAGTATTATTTTCTAAATCATTTGCTGTCTAAGGTAGCATTAGCTTGCTAAAAACCCCTCCTGGAAGACTTGTTCTTGAAAGCATCGTCTTTGTGGTTCCTGGCTAGTGTGATGTCCACGCTGGCTGTGCGCTCACTGTCACAAAGCAGATGCAGAGTTCACTGAAGAAGCAGCTCTGACTCTGCTGCGGAACTAGAAGGAAAGCGCACCCAGAAGTGGAACAGGCAAACCCAGGCCAGAGCTAGAGTTACGCTACCGGTCGGACGCTACCTGCGGAGCTGGGTCATGGACTACCTTGGCTTATGGGATTGATTGTAGTCTCTCTGAAACTACTTTCCTAGTCAATAATTTTTTTTTTTTTTTTTTTTTTTTTTTGGTACCATGAATTAAACCCATGAACTCGCACTTGCCACACGTGCACTGTGCCACTGAGCTATACCCCTGGCACTAAAACTTTAATAAGTAAATTCACTAATTGAAATGGAATTTTAAAAATTAGTTTCTTCTCATTGAACATTTTTCTCATGGACATTCTTGGAGAAGTAGTGTCCTGAGTAAATTTTCTCACTTGTCTTTTTTTTCCTTTCAACAGTGCTGGGGGTTGAACCTAGGACCCTTGTGCAGAAGTTCATCCCTGGGCCTTTTTTATTTTTATTTTTATTTTGAGACACAGTTTCACCAAGTTGCCCATGCTAGACTCCAACTTCCTTCCTCAGCTTCCTGGAAGGCTGGGATTACAGATGCATACCCCTTGGCCTACAAAATAACATTTTGATTCTCTCTTGCTTTTTATATAAAAAAGAGTTTTTGAAGATTACTTTTTAAGAGTAAATGTTTTTTGTTCATTGTATTGTCTTTGTTGGTGGGGAGGGCTTTAAAGATCAGTAAGAAGTGAATAGTATTTTGCTTTGGGAAAATAAATGTGTATGTGTATTTCTTTATAGTAACTCAACTAAATGTAATTTTTTTCCAAGTCATTTGACTCAGTATGTGGAAGACACTGAGCCTGTGCAAATAGGGAACAAGATAATAACTGAAGAATATGAGTTCTTCCCAGAAGAAACTCGAAAGATACTAGAACAATCCGGAAGCTTAAAGTCTTTTCTCCTGGGATGTCCACATTTTGTTGTGATTGACAACTGTATTGCATTGAGGAAGGTTACATTACGGCTCAAGAAACGAAGAAAGAAGAGAAACATGAAAGCAAGAGCAGAAGAGATTTCAAAACTAGAAGAGAGTTTACGAGCTAAACTATTGCCGAACCAAGCTGCTGGCGGCCCTCAGCCAGATGGACAGTCCAGCCCAGTGCCTGACACAGCTCCAGCACCAGATCTGAAGGACGCAGAGCCCAAGGACGTGGAGCCCAAGGATGCAGAGCCCAAGGATGCGGAGCCTAAGGACGCAGAGCCCAAGGACGCGGAGCCCAAGGACACAGAGCCCAAGGACGCAGAGCCCAAGGACGTGGAGGCCAGGGATGGGTCTGCTGACCCCCTAGGTCCCATCTATGAAGACAAGAAGCTCAAGTCTGGGCCTGAGAGTTCTACCAATCCAGTTTCTGCAGCTGTGAAATCTGACGGGGTCTCTTGTGATTCTCCCAAGCCACTGCCTAAGGCTGCAACACCAACTTATTGGGCTCAGTCACACATGGTCACAACATTCTGCACCTACCTTCCCTTCCAGGGATTTGGAATCAGCCAGACTCCACCAGCGTACATGAACGTGCTGCCAGGCTTGCCCCGGTACACCAACATCTACACGCCATTGGCCGGCATCTCCTCTGATTACCAGCGGCAAAGGGCAATAGTCCCACTGGTGCCACCTTTTTTTGCCAATGACAGACTGAAGAAAAATGCTCTTTTGTACTTTAAGGACCCTAATTTGAATGCTGAGAAGTCTGCTGGTAAACCGATCACCTCTGAAACACGGATCCCTGAGAACTCTGGCATAAGATCTGGAAAGTCACAGAGTGACCCAAATAAGACTCACACAAGCTCAGACAGCAGATGCAAAGTCCCTGCAGAAAGTACCCTATATACACAGGATGCTGTTGTACAGGTGAGAGTTAAGAAGATCTTAGTACTGCTGCTAAGTGTTCCCTTTTAAGTTTTCATGGCCACTATTTAATAGATTTTATTTAATAAAGTCTTTAAAAATGTTTGGTTTTATAATAGTTAATGAAGGGCCAGCCAGATACTCAGCAGACTAAAGTGCCTGCTGAGGCAGAGCACAGTGGCCAGGGTTTGATCCCCTGCGTGCCGTGCCAACCTGGCCCCCAGGGTTCCCTGAGAGGGTGATTGAGACCTAGGGTGGTGGGACGCACCTGTAATCCCAGCGCTTGGGAGGCTGAAAACAGGAGGATCACTATGAGTCTGATCTACGTAGTAAGACCCTGTAGACCCTGTACTAAATTTTTAAAAAAAAAATTAAGTTTTTACCTGAAAATATTTTAAATATATGAACCCTTTCATATATTATGAGGTTATGACAGGTAATTTTGCTAGAAAGAAGTTTGGATCTAATAGGTAAGTAGTATTTTCCCCTATTCAAATGATATACCAGTTGAGAAATAGGGTCAGCAGGTGGCGCCACAGTGTCACCTCAGAAGGAGTAAAGAAAGTATGAGGAGTGCGTGTGCCAACAGCCAAGCCTTCCTCCACTCCTCACCCTGCCAGGGCAGCAAGACTAGAGTAGGTGGAAGAAGGGAGGAAGGAGGCGGCTCCCCAGGAGGCTGAGTGGCAGAGCCGGCTTCCCCTGCCAAACCAGAGTAGGAATGAGTTAACAAAGAGGCTGCCAGATGGAGAAATGAGAGCAGCCCAAGAGTTCCTTAGGAGCAACATGCAGCGTGAGGATAACTGGAGTCCTTACTAGTTGTCTTCGTAGATGGAGTTCATTAAATCCTTGTTAACTTGCCCCTTTCCTCATTTAAGTTTCTGTTTTCTAGAAAGCTTTGAAATACATGTGTAAGAACAATGAACCAGTATCATCTCAGTTATAATTCATTCTAAATGGTAATTTTTCCTAATGGAAACATTGATGGAAAGCATGACACCCATGATATAATTTGAAAAAAAATTGTGGACATGTTTTAAAATGTTACTTATTTCACTGGAACAAATGAGGTAATTAAGGTGCTCTGTCCCATAGGTGGCTTGGCCCAGAGAACACCAGGAAGTCAACACTGAGCCGTACTTTCCTGTGGAGGTGCAGCAGGTGAGCTGTAACTGCTTGAAGGCGTGCTTTGCGTGAGCTTACCTAGATGGGTATGATGGAGTACCACTATTTTGGAGCCACCTGCGTCCATATAAAGTTATCATGGAAGGAACTTTGGAATGTAACAAAAATTTGTTTATATTGTTGAAATTGGAGGAGGCAAAGGAAAAGATGTTTTTTCTAGCATATTTATTTCAAATTATAGTGGTGTTAATTTGTATAGTGATCATGTTTTAACTTAGACATAAATTTACATATGTGAATGATATAAAAAGATATTGTAAAGATCCTTAGTACTTCATGAGTGGTTCAACTAGAAAAGCTATCTATATACTATATTATGTTAGTATAAAAGTATTTAATATACTTTGTTAATACAAAAATTCATATCTAAAATATGTATAATAGGTACAACTTATAAAACCTAACAGTTCCTGATGTTAATTGTAAAGAGTAACATTCAAATGAAACTATTGATCTAGTATTGAATCCTACTAATACAAATAATCAGAACTGATTATGGTATGATTTGCAAAATTTGATTATGAATTTAATTGATACAAATAATTGTGTTTTAAAAAAACCTAACTCTGCTAAGCCATGTTTAGGTGTTTTAATTCCTGAACTGTTGTAACATTTCCCCAGTAAAATTTGATCTTCCTGTCATTCAGTTTGTGTAAGAAACAGTTCATAAGTAGGCATTTTACAAGTTTTAATAGTTGTATAATTTACTTCTAGGGGGATATTTCACAGATTGAAAGGGAATACTATGTCTTACAAGAGCAACTTAAAGAAGCATGTGAAAACTATGAGCAAATAAAACTCATCAGCTTTGAAGAGATTAGGAACATGGAAGAAAAGCTAAAAAAGAATCTACAAGAAAACAAGGTGACGATATCTGAAGCCCTGTTTAATTGCATGTGGCAGGAGCAGTAGCACCCAAGCACTGGGGAACCTCAATTACCTGAGGCTATGCTGTTGGCTAAACAGAGTAGAAGAGCCTCTCAAATTTCTCTAAATGTATTCAAATGATAGTGTTTCTGCAATCTGTCTGTCTGTCTGTCTGTATCTGTCTATATCAGGAATGGAACTCAAGACCTTGTGCTGTGTCAATAAGCTATATCCCTGGTCCTCCAAATTGCATTTGAGAAAAGGGCTATAACCTGGAGTTTTCCTTTATTATTTGCCTGGTTATCTAAAACTCTTTCTAGTGACTAAGTTCTGGTGCTGAGAGGCAGCATCTCAGCAGAGGTTCTTACCATGAGTCCTGAAGCAAACTCGTAGGTACAGATCCAGGCTGGGTTCTATTCTGATAGCTCTAGTCTTGGGCCTGTTATTTCACTTCTCTGTGCTTTAGTTGCATCTCTGGAAAATTTGGGTAATAATTGCTCAAACTTTATGGATTTAGCTCACCACCACATCCTGCCTGCTGTGCTAGACTAGACATGGTAGCATATGTGTGTAATCCCAGCTCTCTGAGAGTTTAAGGCAGGAGAGCCACAGGTTAGAGCCCAACCTTGGTAACATTGTAACTTAATTTGGAAATTAAAAAGGGTTGGAGATGTAGCTGAGTGTCAAGGCCCTGAATTCAGGCCCCAGTACTGTGGCAGGATCATGCCTGGTGCAGTGTGAGGGCTCAGTTGCCACTATTGTAATGATTACTATTATTACCATATCTTCTCTCACTCTTTTGGCAGTATGAAGATAATTCCTACAGCCATAGGTGTATTAGAACTGTATTACAGAGTATCTTCTTTGACTCTACTGATGTTGACTTATTAGTTGGGATTGACCAGTGTAGCAGTACCAGTTATGGGCAAGGCCACATTAAATTAATGAGGAATTGTTGTGAGAAAATTACGCTGTGTTTCTTTTTTGAAAAAAAAACTGCTGTCTATTTAGAAAGATAAAAGAAGAAAAAATATTTTAAGAGGAAAGAATTTATTCCAGAAGTATGGATCAATAGCTGGAGTAACATATATTAAATAATAAAAATTGAACTTCGTGAGACCTTCATCAAGAAACTAATTTATTTGAAATTTAATTAAAACTGGAAGGAAAGGATCAGTACATAAAGAAGGCTGTCCTATCATTCCCCAGGACTTGTTTACACTCAGGATGAGACATGGGAAGTTCAAATGAGGAGAGTTACATGAAGCCAAAGATTTTCCTGCTCAGTTCCCTGGTTAGATAGAGGGAAATACACTTAAAAAAAGAAAACCCTGGGGCTGGGGAGATGGCTCAGTGGAATAAGCCCTTCCCTGGCAAGCGCAAGGGCCTGAGTTCAATCCCCAGTTCCGCAAAAAAAAAAAAAAAAAAAAAGAAAAGAAAAGAAAACCCTGCCTAGCACGTGACACACAGGCCACAGGTGCAAATAAACACAATCTCCAGCCAGCTTCCATCTCGTAACAAGGACCCTGCTTGCTCCCTGTCCCCTCCACACTGTAAGGCCTGCTTCTGAGCACTAAGCGTGTGCCAGGCACTGAGGACCCAGCAGGTACCACAGGAATGGAGCTTGGGGCAGTGCCACAGTTGCTCAGTGAATCTCAGCTACTCCCTGTCATTGTTTCGTAGTTCTCGGGGAGAAAGTCAAAAAATGGACTGTCAGTGTGGACTTCTGTTACTTTGGGAGTTTGCTCATAGTCAGAGATGAGGCAGACTGGATGCCATTTAGTGAGGCTGCTGTTTGGTGAGTGAAGTTTTCTTTCTGGCAGGGGCTTTTCCCGCTTTCTCACTCGGTACTTTGTCAGTGCAGTTCATCAAGGCTCCATTATTTGTGAGCTGGATCAGGAAACTTATGGGGCAGAAAACAACCGGGGAGGAAGGAGCAGCTTTGACTGGTGTTCTCTGGCCCTGGGCTTCTGCGCTTAGTATACTTGGGGTCTGCTAGATGTGGAATAGATATATGATCAGCATTTAAATTTTAAAAATACATTACAGTAAAACACATTCCCATGAACCCCTTCAAACAACACTTACTCCATGTTCCTGCCACTGCCTCAAGCCAATCTTAAAGGCGGTCTTTACAAGGTATGACCAAAATGTGGTGACTGCTCCTGCTAAGTAGCAGCTGGCAGAAAGGCAGCGCATAAAAACATGGCACTGCGTCCTTACCCACTTTAGTAACAAGATCTGGCACCAGGCGGCTACAGGTGCTTCCCTGAAAGTAAAATGTCTGTGAAACGTCAACATTTTGAACCAAGTCAGGAGACTGAGATAGCCATAATGGCACGACTGAAGACACTCACGAAAGAGGACTCCAGAGCTGCTGCAGAAAGTGGCCAGAGCAGTGAGGTGTGTTCACAGCAAGGGAAAGTATTTAATGCAATGTATTTTTTACTGTAATAATTTTTTTAATTTAAAATTACACTGGATTTTTTTTTATCTGACCCCACATGGGCTGTACTCTGGTATAATTGGTCTGGGTTTTAATGAGACAGTTCTTTAGTCCCTCAGCACAGGTTTGACATATCTTTAGACTTCCCTGGTGAAATGTTTCCTATCAAGATAAGCTGCTGATTGAATTCTTTGGTTTCTGTTCACACAAAAACAGATAGGGCTTAGCTGCGGGTGCTTGCTTATTACTCATCTAGCAACTGTGTGATCAAAAGGTGTTCAGTATAAACAGCAAGTGAACTCATGTGATATTTTCACTGCCTTTGCTGTGTCTGTGTACGTGTTTGAAATACTTCGTGTGCTTTGGTACCTGACCTCCCTGAGGGGCTCATCGCCAAGTACGTTCTCACACCCCCGCACAGCCTTGGGTTGCACTGGTCTCCCAGCCAAGAGCCAGCTCCAAGGTGAGATCATGGGCTCCAAGTGGACACAGGACAGGCGAGCAGTGCAGTGGGCCCGGCTCCCGTAGCAAGACCAGCAAATCAGCATTGGTCCTGGTCGTAGAACTGAACCAGGTGCAACACCAGATTTGTACATAGGAGCCAGCGTGGAATCACGTAGGTCACGGTGATGACTTGACACATTCAGAACCAGCAAGGTCTCAGTGAGGAAAATGTGCGCAGGCCCTGTTTCCAGGCTGACTGTCCCTGAACTGTTGTTCAGCCTCGGCCACCTGGGGACAGGAGGCCTCTGCCTTCCATAGCCCCCAGAGTCAGGAGTCCCAGGAGGTTGGTTTGGGGTACACTGTCCTACTCAGAGAGAGGCCTTGTGTATCTGTGGCTGCAGTCTTGTCCTCAATTACCTAGGCACATTTGAACTTGGGCAGGAAGTGAAAGCTTTGGGAAACCTATTGGGAAGAGAGGTGTTGCAGCTTTCTCCAGAGCAAGTATGTCCAACTGCAGCCTCCATATGGCCCTGGACAGCCAGGAATGTGGCCCCATGGATTGTGGATTTTTAGTAGTATTACTGATTTTCAGTGGGTTTTTTTTCACACCTTGGTTGTACCGTGCTTGAGCTCAGACCGTGTTGGTGCAGGGAGGATGTGACGCTTCCACCTCCTGTGCCCATTGCAGAGCCACCCGTATCAGGAATTGTGGGTGCCTGTGCAGCCGGGCAAGTAGGATGCAACAGTTACTGACACTAGCGTTTCAACCTACCTCTGTGCATCTGTACAGATAGATGGGTGTTTATTGTTACTAGACATAGAAGTTTCCTTAAGTATTAAATTTGGGCTTGTTAAAAAATAACTTAGTACATTAAAATATAAGAACAGAAGTTTCTTTACTGATGTATGTTATATTGTGTATGCAGCCCTAAACAATTCCTCTTTATGCAGTGTAGCCCGGGCAAGCCAGAGAGTTGGACATAAAAGCCCTAGAGCAGAGAGGAGTAAGGATTTCACTAGTAGCCATTGATGATCCTGGGATCTCAAACTGGAGACTACTAATCATGTTGCTGTTAGTTCTTTCTTATAAACAGTATTCTGATTATCTGGTTCACATTTAAATTAATCGTTAGATTGTCTTTTTTGGGATTGAACTCAGGACTTTGCGCTTTGCCAGGCAGGCGCTTATGCCACTGAACTATATCCCCAGCCCTTAAATTAATCATTATAAACACTAATATCTGAGAACATTTTCCTTAGTTGACTGCTGATATTTATAGGAAGCATGTGGCCTAGTCATACCCTGGTTCCCTCTGACTGGATGGTACTTCAAAAAGGACCTAAAACTTTTAGAGTATTTGTGGGTTGGGGCATTTTGTAAAGTAGAAACTGCATAATGAAATAACTAAAGGGACAGGGAATGTATTGGTGTCAAACCCACCCTTCTGGGGCCCCGAGAAGAGTTTTGCTTCTGTGTCACACTGGCTGAAATGCTGGCAGGCATTCAACCTAGATGCGCTTTATGAGCGTCCAGAAGAATCACACTGCTGTTCTTAAAAGCAAACAGAATCTACAGGACTTGCCAAGTAAAACTCATGCCAGCTCCTCCAGATTTGGGCTGCGTGTGGGTGCGCTGAAGTGGCTTTTCTGAGCAGCTTCCCATAGCCAGGTGCGCTTGGCGCGTCGGACACAGCAGCGAGGTGTGATAGCCCCGGCTGGCTGGGCCACAGGGCGCGGGCTCACGCCTGTTCCCTCATCATGAGTCCCTATGAAAGCCGAGACACTGTCCCCCTCTAGCCTCTCAAGGGAGGGGGTTAGTAAATCTTGCCATTCAAGTACTTTCTAAAATTTTTTTTTTTTAGATCTCAGAGACAGAATTAGATTGGTTCATCCAGGATTTGGAAGCAGAAGTTACAAACTGGGAACAAGAGAAAAAGGAAATCCAAGACAGACTAAAAACAATGAAGAAGAAAGTTAAAAAGGTTTGGAATGCCAGTGAAATGTAAGTGACAATTCAAAGGCAATACATATTTTTTTAATATTCTGGGGTTTTGTGGTCATATTTCTCCTAGTTAATGTCAAACCATATCAAGTAAAAATTGATACATAAAGCTTTTACATTGTTTTTACCTCATTTTAAAAAGCATCTGTTCACTATCTCACTTAAAGCTGTTTCTAAACCTAGCATGTTTTCAGACAAATCAGTGTGTGTCGCCTGGGCTGGGAGGCAGCAAAGAGCTGGCGTTTTTTCTAATTTGAACACCACTGCTCACAGGGAACGTGACCTTTTACCTTCTTCTCCTCATTGGTAAAATACGAAGGTTGAGGGGAGATCTAAAGTATTTTATTCATACTTTGATCCTAAATCATTATATTATTAAATATAATGAAGTGAAGAGATGGCTAGTACATGCGGACCTGGACATAACTGTCTGGTGGCCAGCTGTGTCCTAAGATCCTCTGTGGCCCACTCCTGCCATCCTCCTGCTCCGCACTGTGTTATGCCATGGAACTCCTAAGCCTGACTGTCATCTGCCCCTGTGTGCCAGCATCTGCACACAGCGGCTGAAGTGAAGCCATCTCATCATGCGGGCCGGCTGGGTTCCCGGGGGCCGCTCAGCAGCAGCGCTGGACAGCAGTCTCCTGCGTGCTGGCTGTGGCATAGCTCAGCCTCTTCCTCTGTCAGTGCCATTGTCCCTCTTCATCTTTTATCGGCATGACCCTTCCGTGTGCTCTCGACCATGATAGCCAGACTTGTGATGGCTCAGGACTCTGAAAGGTGCAGCCCTGAGGAAGATGCAGGCTCAACTGTCCTGGCGTCACTCCTGCCATGTGCTCTTGCTAGAGCAAATCTTGGTCCTCCTACAGATAGCGCAGTGTAGGAGGGAAAGGGGATCAGGCATGGCCCATAATCCCAGCAGCCAGGGAGGTAGGACGTGAAGTCTATCTACTTCAGTGCCCCAGGTAGCTTTAGGTAGAGGCCCGTGCCACCACACCCAGCTTGTTGTGTTGTTTTGGTTATGGACAAGTAGTTTTATTAGTAGAACACAATTATGGAAACAGTAATGTCTGTAAGGCTCTGAATATTTGTAGATGTCCTCTCTTAATTGTGTTACTAAAAGCATGGGAATGGAGCTGGGTTTGGTGACACATGCCTGTTGTCCCAGCACTTTTGAAAGGTTAAGGCAGGTCCATCCCAAAATTTGAGCCTGGGAGGTTTAGCACCTAAGACCCTATCTCAAGATGAAAAAATACAGAATGGCCTGAGGATATAATGCAGTCTTCTGAGTTCATTCCCTCATATCATGAGAAAAGTGTGGAAATAGTTTTATTTCTTATGTTTTTTCTGTGTTCACTTCATACATACTGTGTAGCTAGACTGAATTAAAGTAAAGCCTCAAGACCTTTTTAGATCCATTTTTAGAGAAATATGAAGGATGTAAGGAATGATTTCATTGGTGTCTACAATTTTTTTTTTAAATGTATTTGGTTGTTACAGGGTTTCACTATGTAGCTTGGACTCATGGTGAGCCTCCTGTTTTCAGCTTCCCCAACGCTAGGATCACAGGCATGTGCCACTATGCCTGGACTCTGTGGCTGGCTCAGCCCATCCTGGGGTCAGGGCTGGTGCAGCATATAGTGCCAGGGATCAAACCTCAGTCTGTAAGCTTGCGTAAGCAGGTGCTTTAGTCCACTGAACTATCTCACCTGTCCTTTTTTTATATTTGGTACAGGGTCTCACTATGCAGCTTGGACTCATAGTGATCCTCCTGTTTCAGCCTCCCCAGAGCTGGGATTACAGGTGTGCTCCACCATGCCCAGTATTGGTGCCCAGCTTGGCACACCTGGGGCAGAGCCAGCATAGCATGTGGTGCCAGGGATCGAACCCAGGTCCTTATGCTTGCCTAGGCAGGCACTTAGACCTCTGAGCTATCTCCATGGCCTGATGTCTACAATTTTTAATCTCACTTACCCATTAGCTTCAGTGTCTTTTTTTTTTTTTTAATACCAGGAATCAAACTCAGGATGTCATGCTTGTCAAGCGGGCACTTGTGCAGTTGAACTACACCACCAGTCCCCCAACTTACCCATTAAAAATGAATAGGACTTAAAATTTAACTCATGTTCCTGGCAGTGGCACAATCCAGGGGTGGCTCTGAAAGATGTTGAAGTTCTGTGACAGTATTGAGGACTGGGGGGAGGGCAGAGAAATTGTCCCAAAGAGGTAGAATGGTCGTCCAGCAGGCTGTGTTTGGGATCAGTAGGCAGCGCTGACCACACAGGTGTGTAAGGCTGATGGGAGAGAGGCTAGCGCTGCCAGTGCTGCTGCTGCTTCCAGTCCAAGAACTATGTCCTGGGGCCTGGGAGGGTGGCGATGTGTGCAGGTGTGCTTCCACTGGGACTCTGATGGCCCTGCCCTGTGTCGGGTGCTTCCCCTAGTGGGGTGGCCTGCAAGCCGTGATTCAGTAGGGGGCGAGGAGCTGCCTGTCCTCCAGGGCTCAAAGCAAAATTCTTCAGCATGAAAAGAACCACAAACTCTTTGCCTCTGTATAAGATGCTAGAAATGAAACAAATTGTAGAATCATGGAACATTCAAGAAATGCTTATATGAAGCCAGAGATATAGTTCATGGCATAAGTGCCTGCCTGCCAAGCACAGAGTCCCAAAGAGGTAGAATGGTCGTCCAGCAGGCTGTGTTTCAATGTTTCAATCCTGGTACAAAAAAAAAAAAAAGAAGAAGAAATGCTTATATGGATATGGGTATAATTTACTGTGCAGAGTTGTGTTGAAAAAGATTTTTTAATTTAAAAAATTAATTAAAATTTGGGTTTTTAGAGGTCTACCCAGAAAAATAATGGAGTAGATAAAGAATATGAGTTATGCCTGGATCAGTCCCTTGAAAACAGGCAAATTAAGCTAAAATTTACTTTAACATTTTACATTGTTCCAATCAGAGATAAGCACACTAGACCTTCTAAAAATATATTGTTGCTTGCCTATTTATTTTTAATATTTATATATTTTTTATTTCATTTTAAACCAATATTTAAACATTTAATTTTATCATATTTCTGCATTTATTTTCCATTGTCAATATAAAATACCTGAAATATTTTTTTTTCAGTCTTTTTGAAATAAGGTCTTGCTATATAGCTCAGGCTGCCCTTGAGCTCACTTTGTAGCCCAGGCTGGTCTCAAACTCACAATAATCCTACCCCAGCCTCCCAAATACTGGGATTACAGGGGTGCACTACTATGCCCAGCCAACAATATCCTGAATTTATCATTGTGATTTATTCCCTTTATTTTCCTGAGTTAACCCGAAGCTAAAAATGTATCCAAAAAAACTTTTCTGAGCAAAAGCTCCCTGAGAGAGTGGGGGGCATACAGCTCAGTGGGTGGCAGAAGCCCTTGCCTGGTGTGTGTAGAGTACAGCATGGGTTCTGTTCCTAGCACTGCTGAAAAAAACCTAGGCTTTTATGTTAATGGTAGTTTGCTGTGCTTGTTGCTCTGTCATTATTGTTTAAGGGACTTTTATTATGGAGCCTGTGAAGCGTTTCCTTTTAATCTTTACTAGTAGACATTACATGTCTTCACGTTCTAGTAACCAGGGTACTCATAGTAAGCAGGTACATCTTGCTTTTCTCATTTAATACTGGCCCATGCATATATGTCCATTCTCCTGCTGAACCATGACCTTCAGTTTTTGTTTTTCCTTTACTAGACATTTTGTTTTGTTTCCTTTTTTTTTTCTGTTTTAAAAGTATGACCATGATCTGGATGTAGTAGTGCAGGCCTGTTAGTCCCAGCACTTGGGAGGCTGAAGCAGGAGGATCACTAGGAGTGTGACACTAACCTGGACTACATAGTGAGACCTTGTGTGGGGAAAAAAGTACGACTGTGAGCAGCTTTGCACAGCTCACTTCTTTCCTTTGGATTATTTCCTTGCCAACACCAGAATTTCTGGCTCAAAAGATGAGGGTTAGTTTTATGAAATTTGATCAGGATTGCCAGATTGTGGTCTCCCTGCCCTCATAACTCTGAGTGGTGTGGAGCCCTCACCTGTTCCCGGCAGCCTCTGAGTACTCACTGTGCTGGTTTGATGCCTCCCCGTGGCTTTGTGTCTTCCTCTGAGCATCTGGAGAGCACAGAGAGCACACCCGAGTGCTGTGTGTCCCGCGACCTGCGGAGGCAGGAGGTGGGGCTAGACGGGTGAGGTCAGGACAGGCTCTGGAGGCTCCCCTGGCTGGAAGCCTTTGCGTTCTCACTGGCTCGGTTTATTTTCTTTCTTTTTTTTTTTTATTTTTATAAATTTTATTTATTTATGTGTGTGTGTGTGTGGCCAGCTCAGCCCACCAGGGGGTGAGGCTGGCTGGCATGTGGTGCTGGGGGATTGAACCGTGGTCCCTGTGCTTTGCTGAGCTTGTTCCAAGTAGGTGTTTTAGACCACTGAGCCATCTCACCAGCCCCTCAGTTTATTTTCACGGCCTTTTTCTTTACACTTTTGCAGTCGCGCATTTATAAATGAGAGGATGCAAATGGAAAATGGCAGAGGAGGAGAACTTTATGAAGAGAGTCACCAGAGAGCGCTGTTTGCAGAGGTGAGGCCGTGTCACTTGGTGCCTGGAAGACATGGCTGGGGCCATTTGTTTGCTTTTGTGTTTAATTACATATGAGGAGAGCAATGTTACTGAAAAGGGTGGAGGTAGTGGGTATCCTGCCACCCTAAAATAGCCAGGCCTTTCCCTTGCCTATACCTTTTATGTTGTTGTTGTAACAAGGCACTCATATTGTATGCCAAGTTGTGTGACTTGCCTTCAGTCATTTCTCAAACTGTACATTTTGGTTTTTGGACTTTTTTGTTGTTGTTTTGTTTTGTTTTTTGGCGGGAACCGGGGATTGAACTCAGGCCCTTGTGCTTGCTCAAACTGTACATTTTTAATAGCTCTCTTATCTAATCAACTGATATGCCTTGACATAGTCACCGTAAAACATTTGGTAACCCTTGAAAAGTAAATGAGAGTCTCCCACTTATTAAATACACACTCCATCCTCCTCCACCATCCTAGAAAAATATATACCAATGTTTGTGTACTGTATGAGAAACTACTGAGACAGAAGTGACCATGATGTCTGGCTCTATTTCCAAAACATGGTTGTGTTTTTCCCTGGCTGGGATTTATGTATCTATAATTATTTAAGAGAAATGAGAAAAGGATTAACTGATGTAGTCAGCAAACATTCGGCTTTTCAGGTAAGTTCAGCCACACTAGTACTTCTCAGGGAGAATGGAGCCAAAGCGTGCAGACTCTGTGGCCCCTTCTCCATGTCTGCACTCCTGGACTTTGTGTAGTGCGCGCTCTCCTCCATCTGGCCATTAGGCTTGCCTGGACGCCCCTGCTGACGAAGTTACTGATCCTGGGGTTCATAAGTTCACAATGAGCCGTAATTTAAGTCTCCTACCGAGCAGCTCTGATTTGAGCTTACTACATTCTGGCTGACTCGAATCACTTGTGGTGCATGTGGTACAGGTCTCGTTGTAGTACACAGTCATGCATGCACCCCTGGAGGTTCAGACCCATGAGAATGTGTTAGAGCAAGGCTACTCTACGTCTCCGGCAGACATGTGGTGTTGGTCCTGAGAGCAGCCCGTGGAGGAGCGTGTGGCCAGAGTTACCGAACAGCCTGAGTGGGGTCCTTTGCGTCCCAGGTGTGCACACGGCCCACTTGGCTGCGCTTATGTGTGACATAAGCAGAAATCCACGTGCAGTCATGTCCGTGAGAAGGGTCCCAAGGTGTATTTGACGCTAGTGTAATTTGGTGTGCTATTTTCAAATCCTAAAATTCTAATTAGTGTCCACCTGGATGAAATTATAACATCGCCAAGTTGTGGTGATCTCGTCATCTGGACTCATTTAAGGAGAACCTGGAAAGTGACTTAGATTGTTTCCGTTTTAAATCTTATGATAGTTTCAAGTATTCATTTGCAAAATTCTTAAACATCCTCTGATCTGTTGGCAGGTATCTGTGCTTGAAAACTGGAAGGAGAGTGAAATATATAAGTTGCAGAGCATGGCGTCAAAAGCCGAAGCCTACCTTAAGAGCCTCAGGAGCAGGTAGGGAGAGAAGCACTGGAAAACAACTGTTAGAATACCAGGGCCGTTTTATTTTTTGATAGTTCTACAGTATGTTCACTTGTGGCAAATCAAAGCATACAAACAAAACTAATTTAGAAAATGATTCATAGTTCTGAATGGAGAGATCACTAGTTAAGACTTTAGAATAAATTTATTCAGGATATGGGAAGAAATGAAAGGTTTTGTGTTTTTTTCCCTAAGAAGTATACAGGAGATTTTCTTCACGTTGGTAATTATAGTTCTTCAACCTGACTTTGAAAGGTTGGGTAATATTCCAGCCTACAAACACTGTTGAAGTGGATAGTTTCTGTTTCTACAGGCTGCACTGTAGTGAGTGCCCTTCTAGTTAAGTCACTGTGCACATTGTCAGTCATTTCTGTGCAGAAAAACCTGAAACAAAGATGATGTGTTCACGGCTCCTAAAGCCTTTTGCCCACTTGCTTCCCATAGTAACTCGTTTAACAGTTTCTGTGGTGAACTCTGGGAATTCTACTGTGAGGGACTAGCACATACATTAAATTTTTTCTAGCTCTCCATAAACTACCTGTTGAGTTGTTTCGCTTTGTTTTATTTATTTTTTTTTAATTTTTTTTTTTTAATTTTTTTTTTTTTATGTGTGTGTGTGTTTGTGTGTGTGTGGCCAGCTCAGCCCACCAGGGGGCGGGGCTGGCTGGCATGTGGTGCTGGGGGATTGAACCGTGGTCCCTCTGCTTTGCTACAGCTTGTTCTAGGAAGGTGCTTTAGACCACTGAGCCATCTCACCAGCCCCTCGCTTTGTTTTAAAGATTGAGCTTTAGCCGGACATCCTAGAGGGTCTCCCTCAGCCTGCACTTAGTGCTTCAGTGTGGCTTTTTGTTTACTTGTTTTTGCGGTGCTGTGGCTGCAGCCCAGGGCCTTGGCGTGCTAGGTGAGCTTTGCCCTTGAGCTGTACCCCAGCTCAGTGAGGCTTCTCAAACATGGGATTGCTTTTCATCTGGTCCCTCTATCATGTTCTTCAACAGGATTTGCATTTTTAGCCCCAGCATTTTCATTCTTCCTAGTGCTTGTTTTTTGATTAAAATTTCAAACCCTCAGAGTTGAACCATAGATTGCATTAGGGAAAAAGTTTTTGTTTTGGGGTGATTTCTTTCTGAGATAGGGTCTTACTATGTAGTTCAGGCTGGCCTTGAAATCTCTATGCACCTCATGCTGACCTTGAACTCAGGATGATCCTCTTCTCTCAGGCTCCCAAGTGCTGGGATTATAGGTATGTGCTACCAAACATGGCTTGAAGAAAGTCGGAGGGGTTTTTTGTTTTGTTTTATTTTAATCTTCTGAGACAGGGTCTCACTGTACAGTTTAAGCTGGCCGGAAGCTCAGTTTGTAGCCCAGGCTAGTCTTGAGCTCACAGTGATGCTCCTGCCTCAGCCTCCTAAGTGCTAATCTGGCTGAAGAAAGTTTTAGTATAGTCCTTTTTCTTAATTTTCAAGATTCAGGTTTTTTGCTAGAAAACTTCTGATTAAAAGCAAACAGGGTTGCCTGGCAAGCACAAGGGCCTGAGTTCAATCCCCAGTTCTGCCCCACACCCCTGAAAAAAAGAATAAACAGGGGTCTGCAGAGATAGCTCAGCAGTCTAAGTACATGCCTAGGCAAGCGCTAGGACCCAGGTTCAATCCCAGGTACCACATGCAGTGCCAGCCCCGTCCCAGGTACACAGAGCCAGCCACCAAGTGTGGGTGCAGTAGCACACGCCTGTAATCCCAGTGCTGGGCATGCTGAAACAAAAAGATCACTACCGAGTTGAAGTGCATAGTGAGACCCTACCCTATACCAAATACCTTTAAAAAAAAAAAAGAAACAGATTTGCGGATTCAGATCACAGGACGAGTATGGCTGAGACTGAGACCGAGCAGTGCCCAGACACCTCTGTTAATACTGTTGCTGGGGAGCAGAGCCCCAGGCCTCATTCAGTGCAGCAGTTTTGCTTCCTTCTAGGAAACCTTGTAGTATTATACAGATTATTTCTTGGGGATGCTGTACAACCTCTGCCTGTTCATCAGAGGATAGCAGAAGAGACTAGCGAGGGGAAAAAGGCATGAGGAATGAGCAGGAGGGAAGGGGAAGGGAGCAGAATAAAGAGGCCTGGCACAGAACCCAGCAGCCTCAGCTGGTGTGACAGTATCCACCAGGGCCTGAGCTGAGGCCAGATACAGCAGTAAGAATGAAAAGTGGAATATGGGAATTGGTGTGGGGGGCGGATTTTTTAAAAGCCATGGTCTGTACACATAACTGCTCCCCAAGATGATTATAAGCCCCCTGAACTACAAACATGTTCTGATGACATGAAAATTTCTTAAAAACTAAGGCTTGAAAAACATTCTAAGATTTCTTTAATCTGTGTGAGGAAAACTGGCATGATCACAGATTGATGCTGTTGATCTTTTCAGGAATGGCGTTTGTCACTTTTGATATACCAGAACAATCAATGAAGTGCTGAGATCATCAGTTTATCTTGTCTCTTGGTCATAAATTTATTTTAGTCTCTTGTCCCTTAGTTTTATAGTAAAGTGGAAGTTTAGGTTAGGCCTTACTGAAAAAGTTGGAATGTTTTTTGTTGTCTCTCCCCTTTTCTTTCCTTCTAATTTGTTGTTGTTTGAGATAGGGTTTCACTATGTAGTCAGACTGGCCTTGAGCTCACCATGTAGCCCAGGCTGGCCTTAGACTCTTGGCAATCCTCCTGCCTCAGGCTCCCAAGAGCTTGAATTACAGGTGTGTGCCACCATGCCCAGTTTACTTAATTAAAAAAAAAAAAAATGGTTTTTTGATAAAAAGTTTTAAATAGAAAGACAGCCTGTCATGCTAAATGTGAAAATGTCAAATGGAGAATGATCAAATTTTCAAATTGGAGGAAAGAAATTAAAATTCATGAGAACATTGGTTTTCTGCCCATTTGCTTAAAGTTTGTTGTTATAGCAATAATTAAGATTTTTCTGACATGTCTCTAGTCTCAAGTTTGCAAAATGCGGGAATACCACCCAGTCCTCCCCCAAGCCCCAAGTTCTTGGACCTGAACCAGGGCCTCTCCACTGAGTTGCATCTCCATTATTTTTAGCTGAGGCTAGAATACTGCTGCAAGTTTAGGGCCAGTCTGAGCTATAAAGTGAGACTTGGCTTTTTTTTGTTTGTTTTTTGAGATGAGATCTCACTAAATCATTAAATGTCCAGCCAAGGTTTGAACTGGTGACCACCTGCTTCAGCCTCCCAGAGTCCTGGGATTTAGGCACCATCCCAAGCTAAAATTCACAGCTCTTTAAAAGTGTGTGTGTGTGTGTGTGTGTGTGTGTGTGTGAGAGAGAGAGAGAGAGAGAGAGAGAGAGAGAGTATGTGTGTATGTGTTAGAGAGAGCTCACATTAAATGTATTTTTCACTGATGTTTAAGTGTTCGCTTATGTTCAAATGCTTTTAATTTTTAATTTCTACAGTGGATATTAAGCAATTTCATGTTTAACTGCCTTTTCAGTGATTCTGCGACATATCCCAACAAGGAATCTGATATACATTCATGGGAGTCATTTATTTCTAATGTTGCAAAAGAAATTATAAAAGCAAAGGTGAGCTGTGAAATAGAATCCTGCTGGAATCTTCATGATAGTGCTCGGGAAGCTAATGCCATAATTTTTGTTCCAGTTCCTAGAAATCTTTCATGAAATAGGTGCCCTTTTCTTATGTAGTTCTCTGGGGCTGGGGTGTAGCCGGGGGGGGGGGTCCAGCACACATGGTGGCCTGGGTTTGATCCCCAGTACTATTTTAAGAAGGGGAGGCTGTCTTATGCTTTGCCTCTGAATGGGAAGATTAGAAGTTACATCTGCTAAAGCTTTGGAATATTCTGACTAATGAGGTCTTATTTTAACTTCTTGTAAGAAATAATTGTCTTCATGCCTTGCATCTAACTTTAACTATTTGTAATGAATAGTAAGAAAAAAGAATTAACTGAAAAATTACAGTTTTCCCATGAAAGGTTAGAAAAACTTTAATTTTCTCTTCTGCCCACAGTCTCAATTTGAAGACCAAATTAGAGCAATTAAAAATGGGTCTCGGCTCCGGGATCTTCCTCAAGTGCGGGTTTCGGAGCTTTCCTTTCCTGCCTGTAAAGTGGTAAGTCCATCATGGTTTTCCTGTAAGAAAACATAATGAGCAGCCATTTGTTGACCGGCCAGAGGAGTTCGTTACCTTTGCCGCAGCGGATTCACAGTTGCCTTTAGGTTCTCATCACCGTGCCCTCAGCCACCCCTTCGTGCCCTAAAGGTTCTAATGCTGAGCACGAGGTCAGGGCTGCAGGGAGCCCACTGCTGTCTGCCCCGTCACTCCACCCATCTTCTTTCTGCTGGGTGCTGGGTGTGGGTTGGTGCATGCACGCACCGGGGAATGGTGTCCCAGCAGGGAACAAATACAGGGGTGGCAGGTGTCCTCTGTGCCGTTCCATTCCCAGTGGGCTTTTGCTCACTCCCACATCCTTGGGAGCGTGACATGCTGCTGTGGTTAGGGTCACTGTAGTTCCAGCACACCATTTGTACTGCACCTTATTGCTAAACCTTGTCTTTTTATTTTAAAATTCTCAACATAGCAAAGAATACCATTAATTTTATTTCATGGACTTTACAGTGCAGCTGAGTGTCACTCTGTTGTATTCTCGGGTACATATTTCTAAGATTTGAACACAAAATAGATGTGCTTAAAAAAAAATAGATGTGCTATAAGTACAGAACTGAGATGAATGAGAGCCAAATAGGACGCACTGTGACAATCGGAAGACTGTTGAAGAGCTGACTGAGGTAGAGTCCCACACATTGTGGAGGGCCCTAAAGATGGCGGCAACACCGTCCCAGGCACCTCATCTGCGTCTCCTTGCTACTGTGGGGCTTGGCCTGGACTCCTCACCCTCGAGCACTACCTTTCGGCTGGGCCCTGCCTGGGCCTTCTCTGCATCCAGGAGGCCTCAGGCCCCTCCAGCCAACCTAGTCTTAATTCTTCTATGAGTGAACTAAGTAAATAATTCTTTTAAGGTGTGGCTTTTTCTCTCCATTAAGCTAAGAGATATGGTCTTATTCAGAAGTACAGATCACTTCTCATGTACAACTTTTCTAAGTTCTCACAGCAAGTATGGAGGGAAAAAACTTTGGATATCAATAGATTATTTTATTCTTAATTTTTAATTTTAGTTATGTCATTTTATAAATACCTAAAAGAATTTTCATATCCAAAGCATGACCTCTCAGTGTGCTGGGAGCTGGAGCAGTAAGTGTCCCAGAAAGCCATTCACTTTGTGTCTGATTCCTGCCTCACTCCTCTGCTGGCGTTCAGTGGAGAGGAGGATGAGACATGGCTGGGCTGGGAAAAAGACACCCAAGAGCGCCTGCTACAGGCAGAGTGCAGGGAGGGCGTGATGGGAGGACACGGTCATGGCATTAGCACAAGAGCCCAGAGCGCCAGGCCTCCACGTGAGAGTCCCCTTCAGGAGTCTCAGTGAGACAGTGACCCACAGGAGGGACAGGTCCAGTGAAGGAGAGGGAGGTCCAGGAGGAAAGGATGTTGTGGTGCCTGGGGGACTGTGTTCCAGTTGCAAGAAACAGCATTGTTGAAGGCTGGAAAGACCAGGCACCTAATGTGTTCTTCACTCTTAAAGTTCATTTTGGTGAGGAGGACTCCAGGGACAATGGCCACAGAGCTCCTCAGGAGCCGGGAGCCTGGGAGTCTTGGTCTCTAAGCCATACTGAACAGTTGCAGGACTCTTGGGGCCACTGAGAAGCCAGGTTTCAGGGAAGGGAAGGACAGCAGGTCTGACGTGTGCCAGTGAGCTGGCCTGCAGTGTGGAGAGGTGTGTTGAGGGTTAGAGCAGTTGCGAGGCAGCCACTCGTTGGCCTCCTCTGGGAGCTGTGGTGGGTGAGAGCACTACAGCAGGAGTGCAGAGGACAGATGTGAGAGGTGCTTAGGAGGAGCTAGTGGAGGGCCGGGAGGACTGCACCAGACCCAGAGTTTGGGTTACCCAGGAATGACCCACGGGGATATGCAGATAGGAGTCTCAGAGATTCTGCCCAGGCAACTAGAAAGTGGGCATTCTTCAGCAATGAGCCCGGTCACTGAGGCATGGGAGATGCGGCCCGGGCCTCAGGTGACACCCAAAGGAGCTTCCACACTTGGGAGGATGGAGGTGAACACTGCATTGGGGAACGAGCAGGTGGGTGGCCTGTCTCTGTCAGTCAGTGAGGGTTCAGTCATGGGGCACAGGGGTGGAGGCCAGGGACCGTGGGCAGTGAGAGGTGCTCAGAGGCAGTTTTTCTCTCAGAAATTTATGGAGATAGATACTATAAATCAGTCTTCGCCCAGACAACTAACAAATTATAATCAGTAATTCTCACACAGTTAACTTGGTGGTGGAAGTCTCCTGTGTGTGTCCTCACAGTCACGGAGTTATCCTCTCTGCTCTTGGGATTCCTACTGTTCATTCCCGCCAGCCCTAAGGATCTGACACAGGCACTTGTGTTCACAGGTCCGTCCTCAGTTAGCAGCCACACGCTCAAGCCCTGAGAGCCAGGGGCCTGGGGCTTCTGCGAGCAGCGCCCCTGCACTTGGGGCCAGCCACAAGGAGGATTGTCCAAAAGAGGTCCCTTCTACACTGGCACCCTCTGCTCAGCTGAAAGTGGCTCCACCCGCAGAGCCTAAGAAGGCTGGCCAAGCAGCTCCTTCAGTCCCGAGCCCTGAGGTAGATCAGACACAGCCTGTTCCTGCAGGCCCCACAACTCGCCTCAACCAGAATACAAGGAAACTGGTACACGCTATTATTGAGCGACTGTCTGCGATATTCCCTTGCTACAACAGGTATGCGGAGGAAGTGGCCCTTGTGCTGTGAAATGTGTAAGATGGTGGTGAGGGAGGGTAGACATGGAAAGGACTGCAGAACTGTTTTGCTCAGAAAGGCAGCTGCTGCATTTTATAAGCATACAGGTAAGCTTAGGGGATGGTGGAAGTGCAAGGCTGGGGAGGAGACCCAGAGCCTCATGCTGGACTGATGCCAGCCCTCTGCCCTCAGCTAAAAATTCAGATGTGTCTAGAGTGAAATCAGTGAGCCCTGGGTGACACAGGAAGCCCATAGCAGTTTGCTCAGATGTTGAAAGCTCTGAGCTCTCCCACATGAGTTGTGCAATCAGTGAGTAAACTGTGCAATAAGTTTGTATCTTTTTTATGCAAAGAAAGCAGCAGGCAACAAGTAGCACATTGTAGGTTGGCCCTTGACTGCTAGCAGTGTGAAAAGACTGGATCCCATTCCACCTGGGTGTATATACAGACACCCTGTAGGGACGCTGGGAGCCCTGCAGAGCTGAGGCAGGCAGGCGGGATCGTTTTGGAGCCTCTTCATGGTACACAAGCTGGGGGTTAGAGAAGTTAGAGAGGTTCCCCAGGAGGATTGGAGGGGGGTCTGTGATTCTTCCTGAGACCTTGTTAGTTACAGACATTGCAAATTTGGAAACAAAGTAATCATGAAAATGTGATTGGCTGGGATTAATGGCTTGTATTTCTCAATTGAGCCCTGTCCTTTTGAAGATAAGTGTATTTTGTCTACACACGGCCTGCTTTGTCCTTCCTAGGTTTGAGAAACGTTGAAAATCTTCTCAAGGGCTCTTATGCCAGTTGTAAATTATCCAATTTATGATTACAGAAGTACCCTACAAATAAAATTGTTTGCAATCTTGATTAAACTTGGCAGAGATTTTAAAAAATGAAATAAATGTGTCTTTTCTGAAACCTGAAATATTTGGAATATTAGTGGTATAAATATCAAGCTCTGTTGACTAATGTTATAACTCATGCAGTGGTACGAAACAGTCATGCTTTGAACTTTGTTAGATTTATTTCAAGGGAGGAAGTCTGCAAACTGGGTTCATCTTGAGTAGAGATTTTACTGGTTTCAAGTGAGAACCAATGGTGTGTCTAAGTGTTTGATCTCTTTGGGTAGCGCCTGCCTTGTCTAGAGTATGCCGACTCAGTTTCCTAAAGGAGAGAAGAGGGTGGTGCTACACAGTGTAGTCCTAGGAGATACACTCTGCTTCTGTGTGTACCAGTGTTTTAAGATAATGGTGAAATTTTCATAATTACTTAGATGGTCTGTATTAAAATAGTTCTGCTTTTGTATTTGTTTTTGTCCTTCAGGTTGAGCTGTTGGGTTAATATCATCACATTGTATTTCTCAGCAGTAGAAAATTTGATTTTTCGTTGTCCTTTATTGCTCACTTTCCCTTTCAGCACCGAGCTTGCTGTTTTTATTAAGGAAGTTGGAAGCAAGAACAACAACACCTTTGTAGGACTGAGTGTTAATGATATCATCCAAAGAGTGATAGAGCACATTCTAGATGAACAGAAAGAGGAAAAGGTATTTCAGAAATATTCCACTTCATCATTATTCATTGATTGCTTTAAAAATACAAAAGCTTCACATACAATATAGAGAAGTTTGTTCAAGATGGAAGATGGTCAAGCTTTTAGGCACCTGAACTGTGTTTCCTTCTTCTGCCCCATCCGCACTCTCTTGTTGTCTCTGTAGCCAAATCCCGAAAAGGACAAAGGGACACCCAGGGCCCGCCCTGCTGCTGCTGCTGCTGCAGGTGCTGCTGCTGCTGCAGGTGCTGCTGCTGCTGCAGGTGCTGCTGCTGCTGCAGGTGCTGCTGCTGCTGCTGCTGCAACCACGTCCTCCCGGAGTCCATTCCCAGTGACCACTCGGCCATCGACCACAACCAACCGACAGAAGCCAGAAGCTTTCCCTGTACAGGTAACTAACTGTACAAGCTGTCCTTTTCTCGTTACTAGACCTAGTTTTTTTGAGCCTAAAATTAGAATGAACACATGGTGTTCAGACAGCAGTGAAGGGCTGAGAACCTTGGGCCCAGAGCAGGAGACCCTGTGTGGCACGGCCTTATTCTGCTTTCTGGGACCTGGCCACTGCACCACCACCCCCACCCCCCCACCCCCCCGTTTTCTCCCAGATGGTCACATGTATTGATTTTTCTGCATCAGGTGCTGCATTTTGACTAGTTGGAGAAAACCCATTTGATTGATTGTGTTCTTTGGAATCGCATATACTCAGTTGCTTGCTCAGCACCTGGAGCCAGGCTCAGCCTGCACTGGCTATCGGGTCAGCACTGCTCTGCATCCCTAGAGCGCTGTGAGGGACACAGGAATGGGCTCAGTATGCCCAAAATTTCATTTGATGATTGACATTATTTTCCTCTTACACAGTAGGAGTTGTCTACATTTATGCAGACAACTTTACTTTTATAAGCTGCTACTTTGTCTGTGACCTGAGTTGTCCCCGTATAATAAGAAAACAGAGGCAGTCTGGCTCATGCGGCTTGTCATATCTGAGAGTGCCCGGCTGCCGGAAGGCAGGAAGCAAGCTGAGCAGGCCCCTGGGTGGTGGCTTTCCTGGTCCCCGCCATACTGACCAGCCCGTGCTGTACACTTGCTGGGGGCTGCGCATGTGTGGTGAGGGCAATGGCATCTGTGTGGTTTCACCTGAAGTTCCCAATTGAATTTTTCCTCTTGTGCAGATGCAGTGCCAGGGGTCCAGAGCAGGGAAGGAACCGCAGACCCCGCAGCATTGGCAGCAGGCCTCCGCAGCGCAGCAGCGCCCGCGTGCTCCGTGTCAGCCTAAGCTGGTACTGGGTTTTTCTGTAAGCTTGTTCTTAGTCCTGTCATTTCTCCTGCCTGTACCCTCTGAGGGGGTTTGTCTGCGCACACACTCGTCTCCCAGAGCTTCATCCCTGCATTCACCTGAAGGAGAGCATTCCGGCACCACCGCCCAGGTCCCTGCCACCCTGGTGCTCTGCAGGGTCCCCGTGCTTAGGGACACTCCACCAGCAGGGTTTTGGAGCAGCAGGGTTATCAGAACAGTCACACTCCTGGGTCTGTGATTAGCCACCCACAGGTTCTGCTTCATTAAAGGTGTTGGTAATATGAAGAAAAATAGAAACTTATACTAGAAATTGATAATCATATGTAGTTTTGTAAAAATTCAAAAGCAGCTTCTTATTTTTAATTTACAAAAAGCACACACCCATAATAGAAAATACAAATAAAAAAGACATTTAAATACCTTAAAGCCAGGCACAGCGGCTCACATCTGTACTGCAGCTACTCAGGAGACTGAGGCAGAGGATTTAGGGTTCGAGAGTAGGCTGAGCAACATAGTAGGACTCCATCTCAATACAATACAATACAATACAATACAATACAATACAATACGAATTTAAAGCATCTACTCTGACCAATATAAACACATGGGTACATGCTTTTATAAACTCTTTGTATATATGAATGAAATTAGTCAAAACTGAATACTTTAGTCATATTTTCTATGTCCTTTGAAAGGGGATATTTCAGGGTTTTTTTTATTTTGGTTTGATTTTGTTTCCTACTTAGAAACATATTGTAACTGGCTGTAGTGGTGCCTGTCTGTAATCCCAGGACTTGGGAGGCCGGGATAGGAAGGTGGCTATGAGTTTGAGGCCAGCCTGGATTACAGAAGGAGACCCTATGTCAGAACAAACAAAGCAGTATGCTGTGCTATCTTTCCACCTTGCGAAACAGTCAAGTAAATTTACAATTTCACAGCTAAGCCTGGCTGTGAGCTTTGCCAAGGGATGCAGAGAGGCTACACCCTGTGGTACCCAGGACCAGCACCATTGTGTCTTTCCTGACCCTCAAGGGTGGCTGGGTCCCCCATAGTCTCTCTAGGCTCAATTAGTGCTTTGGTACAGATGGCAAACTCCACCTTGCAGCTCAGGGTCTGCACAACCCCGAATGCTCACATACACACACACACACACACACACACACATACACACACACAGAGGCATGGACACATATGGGCACGTGCATGCACACTGTAGGATGGAGCTAGTTCCTTCCACCTGCTCAGTGCCCCCCACACACACAGCACTGTTGCCCACCTTCGTAGGGCACTGGAGTTGAGAGGCTACGTGGAGCCACCTGTGCTCACTGGAATGCCTCAGTTTGTCGGACTTGTATTCAGAGACTTTGGAGACTAGCGAAGGGCAGAAGAAAGCTGCTTGCACCTGGTAGCCACAACTAGCTTCCATATCTCATCTGATTCTTTGCTTAGCATCTCTATAGACACATTTTTTTTTTTTTAAGGGAAGGGTCTACAGGGTATTCAGGGCCTCACTACTAGATCAGACTCATAGTGATTCTCCTGTTTATAACCTCCCAAGTGCTGGGATTACAGGCCAGTATGACCACACCCAGTCTCAGTTGCCATCTCAGCACGCCCTGGAGCGGGGAGGCCTGCATGGCAGGCCCGGGGGATCAAACTCCCTAATCTACTGAACTATTTGGCTGGCCCACATTTTATTTTTTAGAGAGTAGAATTCTATGATAGATATTGTTTTGGCACCTGCCCCTTTTTATTCAAGTGGTCTGTTGTGACCAACTTTCTGACCAGGGGTTATGGGTATCCATAGTCCATGGTGTGGATGTGTTGTAATTTTAATCCCTGCTAGATGATTTAGATTCATGGTTATTTTGTAATCTGTAAATAGTCCCATATGTCAGGTATGATGGGGTAAACAGGCACTGCCAGTGTTTCACCTAAAATCTGTTAACCATAAAAAAGTTTTCCTTGAAAAAATTTGAACTTCAAAATCATTTGTTGGCTTTTTCTCAAAAAATAATAATAATAATTCAATAAGATTCTTTTTTTTTATCCTGCTATATTGCTTTATTACTGGGGATTAAACTGAGGACCTTGTGTTTGCCAGGCAGGTGCTTATACCACTGAGCTACCTCCCTGGCCCAATATAAGACAAATTTTAATCCACATGAAAAATCAAATAAGCAATAACACAATTGTAACCTGAGACCTCAGTGCCCCATTATCACAAAGAAATAGATCAACCAGACAAAAATCAGTGGAGAAGTAAGAGAACTGAATCAAACCTTTGAACAAATGGACTTAGTTTACCTTTATAGAATATTCTACCTAAAAACATAAGAATATACTTTCTTCTCACCTGAACATGGAGTGTTCTCTAAAGTAGACCGTACACTAACCCATAGAATATGCTTAAGTAAATGCAAAGTAATTGAATATACCCATGCATACAATCTGAGCATAGTGCAGTGAAATTGAAAATTAACGGCAGAAAAACTGCAAAAACTCTATAAACACATGGAAATTAAATAACACCCTCCTTAACAATCAATGAGGCACAGATAAAGTTAAAGAAAAAATTAAACAATATCTACAAACAAACAAGAATGCAAATACAACATAGCAGAACCTCTGGGATATAATTAAAGCAGTACTAAGACAAAAATTTATAGTGGTAGATTCTCACATCATGAAAACAAAACAGGCACAAATAAACAACCTAATGCTGCATCTCAGCTTCTAGAAAAAGAAGAGAAAGTCAAGTCCAAAGCCCGTACAAGAGAGGAAATCATAAAGTTCAGAGCAGAAAGTAATTCAGTGGAGACTAAGAAAATAAGGCAAAGGATTAATAAACCTAAGAGTTAGCTCTTTTAAAGAATAAATAAAATTGATAAACCCCTAGCCAACTTGATCAAAAAAGGAAAGAAAAACCTCAAATTCATGCAGTGGAGAATGAAAAGGATGAAATCACTAGAGATCTGGTAGAAATTCAGAAGTTCATCAATACCTCCTTGGAAAATCTGTACTCTCAGGATGGAAAACACAGAAGAAATGGACAGATACCTAGAAATATATGAATTACCAAAGCTGAATTAAAAATATAAAATGCTGAATAACTCAATATCAGTTAATGAAGTTGAAAAATGTAATTAAAAACTTACCTACAAACAAACACCCAGGTCCTGATGGACTCATAGCTGAATTATACAGCAAATATAGAGAAGATTTAATGCCAATACTCTTCAAATTCTTTAATAAAATTGAAAGGAAAGCAATTCTTCTTACTTCATTCCTAGAGACAAGTATTACCCTGATACCCAAAGCAGAGAAAGACCCAACCAAAAAAGAACTACAGGATAACCTCACTAATGAACATAGATGTGAAAAATCCTCAGTTAATGACTAGCAAACAGAATGCAGCAAATCATCAAGAAGATTATATACCATGACCAAGTAGGACTCATCACAGAAATGCAGGGATGGCTCCACATGCACAAAGCAATAAATGTAATACACTAGGTCAACAAAGCCAAAGACAAAAAATATTCAATGATCATTTTAATAGATGCAGGAAAACTTTGATAAAGCACAACATTCATTCATGATAAAAACCCTACAGAATCAACAAGTGGGACTCATCTTTTTTCAATAAGATTCTTAGCCTAACACACACTCATATTCCCCCTGCTGAGGAGACTGAGGCAAGAAGATCGTGAACTTGAGGCCAGCATGAGGAATCGCACATGACCCTGTCTCAAAACCAACAGCAAAGCCTGGTTTCTTCTGTCTGTCTTCTCAGCCATGATTGGAAATAACCGCTTCATGGCAAAAATGGTTGAAGGCTGTTCATAAAATGAACCATGAAAAGTTTGTGCTATTAACTAAAGAAAGTTAAGGGCCAGTAAGATAGCTCAGCAGACTAAGAGCCTGCTTAGGCAAGTGCAGGGACCAGGATCCAATCCCCAGCACCTCAAGCCATACCGGCTCCACCCCCAGGCGTGCTGAGCAGTCCACCGAATCCAGGGGTGGTGGCGCATGCCTGTAATCCCAGCACTGGTGAGGCTGAAACAGGAGGATCACTACAAGTCTGAGCTGTGTAGTAAGACCCTGTACCAAATATATTTACATAAATAAATAAAATTAATCTTCATTGTTCATTTGTCTCCACAGGCACCACGTGCAAAAAACACATGTGAAATGTGCCATGAGGTGTTCAAATCCAAAAATATACGCGTGCTAAAATGTGGGCACAAGTTTCACAAAGGGGTAAGGCTTCTCATTGCTCCCCTTATGTGGGCCTGGCATTTCCTGTAACCCACGCCTCCAAACTGGGTGCTCCCTGTGGACAGGGAGGGTGGTACCAGCCAGGGTGCAGCTCAGAGGTGGGCCTTTCTGCCATCAGCTGCACTAGCACCTTGAAAACTGACTGCTTAGGGGCCGGGGAGATGGCTCAGGGGAATAAGCATTTCCCTGGCAAGTGCAAGGGCCTGAATTCAATCCCCAGTTCCACCAAAAAATAAAAAAGAAAGAAAAAAAACCTGACTGCTTGGATGACTGAATGGATAAGCGGGGAGCCCACCTGCCAGTTTAGCATAGTAGCGAAGTTGGGTCACCACGTAAGGGAAGAGCCCTAAACCTCACTGGGTCCCTCGTGCCTGGCCCTGAGGGATTCCAGGATCATGTGGTGATGGTCCAGCAGTTCTGGGTGCTGTGTGTTGCTGCATGAGGGCTCATTACGTTGCATTGTCCCCAAGAGAGGGACGCACAGAGTGTTCACTGGAAGGAGCTGAGAAAACTTACAGCTTTGTCTGCGTGGTCACCACGCTCTTGTGAGTAAGATGTGCTGGGCTGGCAGCTTCCTGCACACCAGGCCTTGTAGCAGTGCATGGTCTGATGGGCCATTTGAGAACAAAGGGCCACAGCCAGCAGTGCCAGCCCACACCCCCAAGGCAGGAGCAGGGCTATGCGAGAAGGAAAGGCCACCTGGACCAGGTGAAAAGTCTTGTGCAGTCGCGGCCCCACTTCTGAAGGGGGATTCATTGCCCTGAGGTCTCATCACTCTATGGGCGTGTCCCTGAGGATGGGCAGCACCAGGCCTCACCATAGTTGGCAGTGACATATGCTTTGTCTGCGAAGGAGTCAGGCACGGGAACTGAGGCCTAACATGGTCCTGCAGGCACTGACTAACTCAGTTTCCTCTTTTTCAGTGCTTTAAGCAGTGGCTCAAAGGGCATGGCACCTGCCCCACCTGCCATGGTGGTACCCTCCTGCCCAAAGGACAGTGAACACCTGCAGCTGCCTCTGCCTGGGTGGACGCCTCACCCTCATGGCACTGAGATGAGACCAGTGTCCTCTTGTCCTTAAGAGGGGACATTTTAAGACTGACATTGTGTGTCGCAAGGCACCAAGTGGAAACCAAATGAGCTGCTGTTGAGTCATTTCCCCTCTGAGTAACTGCTTCATTGGTGGCCGCATCGTGGTGTGTACAGCGTGTCCCCTCACCCTTACACCATTGGCCTCTGCAGAGGGGGCCTGAGCCGGGAGCTTCTCCCAGGATAGTCAGTGCCTCAAAACGGGACACGGACTGCAAGAATTCCTGCCCTTGCTAAGTGCCCCAGCTACCCTTCTTGTGTATGAAAAGTCTTTCTAGTAGCTCTGTAAGCAGAATAACACTGGCCTTCACGTTGTTTTATGTGGTTCAGTATTCCTGAAAATATGCCTATATTTTCCCTCAGAGTCTGCATTTTTAAAATGGGCTTAAGGCAGAGTTTAATAATTTGTAGTTAAAAATATATTGGCTGGTGCAGACCAAAAGATTCATTCTCTTCATAAAATCCCACATACTTCTGTTGCTTCATCGTTTTATTTCCCCCATAGATCTTTAGTTCATTTTTCATGAAAGAAGTAATCTGATTTTTGAAAATTAGTTGCAAAATACATTGTTAGTATAGATCTAGCACAACTTTTTTCCCTCAAATCGAGGATGTCTTTTTTAAAAAACCGAGGACATGTGTCCATCCTGCCAGCTCACTTGGAATGTTCTCGGAGGACGCACTGCTGTTGCTGTTGGCAGCGACGGGCCCCTGTGCTCCAGGCAGCGAGCGTTGGGCCGTCTGCACCCACAGTGCTGCGCACGCGCGCGCTGTGTAGTACCAGTCACCCATTTCCTTCCTGATCTCACCCCGAAAAGCGAAACTTGTGTACTCCAGTCCGAGGCGTGCGTGTTACAGTCGTCCCGTGTTTGACCTTTGTGTAGAGTAATGCATGCCGTCCTGTACCGTGGCCCAGAACAACACTGTGCCTGCTTTAAATGCTATTTAAAAATTTGATGTCTTTTAATGACCTAAAGACAATGCTAAATACAGAAACACATTCCATTTTTCTGAACCAGGAAAGGTCACAAGATGTTTTTCGCTGTGTTCTTTGCCCCACTGATAAAGTGTGTGAGCAGAATAGGTCACCTTCCTCCACCTGTGTCCCCATGAGCTGTGACGTCTTAGTGACTTGACCATAGACACTTCTTACTCTCAAACACTCTCGCAGCAGCTCCTGAAGCATCGTCTGCGAATTTGCTGTGCGTGTACATCTCGTCGGGGCCAGTTGTAACCGTGCGTGCCGTGTGCCCTGTGCTTACCCGCCAGCCTTGTGAACCTGCCTTAGCTCTCAATAAAGTGCACCCAAAAGACCAGCGGCTGCTGTCGTGCTTGCGCGCTCGCCCTGGTAACTAGAGAACGCCCTCTGCTGGAGAACTCGGCCTCTGACTGTGCCAGCGGTTGAAGTGGCTTCCTTTGGGAAGAAAGCCATGCCACGAAGGAGCCCTCGGTGGCTTCTGGTCATCCCATGCCCTCGTGACGCTTGCTGAACCAACTTCGCAAGGCTGTCTTCTGAACTTGTGAATAGAACACTTACCTACAAGGGTAGAGTTTACCCTTGGGTTAAATTCAGAGGGGTTTTTTTCCCTGTGCATAACAGGGAAGAACACTGAAGATAGTTAAAAACCTGTCTTTTGTTTATTCAAGGAATCAAAGAATTTTCAGTACTTAATCTGGTAGCATTTAGCTCACAATATGTAAAACAAAGCAACAACTGGCTATTCTTTAAAATGGTAGATTATTTTCTCAGCTGAAATGTGTAACCGACATCGGGTATGACTGATAATCCAATACAGAGCTGAAGTGGTGTTCCAACAGTGCCATAGCTGGCTCCATTTTTAAGGTGATCTCAGCAGTAAGCCTCACACACAGCCAAAGTGAGCTGGTGCAGAAGCCGTTTGCAGTGCTGTGCCCTTGGGCGGTGGGGACTATGGGATCCCTTCTGTCTATGTGAGGTGCTGGGAAGGTGGGCAGGGTGGGGGCTGCGCGCGAGGACCCATGGCGTCTCCAGGGGAGACGTTAAAGCAGAAGCCTGCAGCAGATGACATTATGAGCATTGTGCGCTGGTCCCATCTAGTTCCTTCTCTCCTCTTGGACATGGACAGAAAGATGTCTACATTCATGCAGCCACTTGCCTGCACGCTTTGTGAGACAGGTGGGCGAGGCCCCCGCAGAAGCCGCTTACCAGCCAGTGTGTGCTGTGTACCTACTGTGTGCATAGTGCCACTGCACACTCAACGCTAGGCCCAAGAAACTGGCTTGCAGAGGAACAGTAAGTGGGTACATAACATAATCTCGAGCTGAGAAGGGCTCTGAAGGAGAAGGAAAGATGTTATACATAAAATGAATACATGTTATTTAAATATTATGCACAAACAGATGTGCACTTAGCACATTAACCCTTGACAAAGGGGAGCTGGTCACTGTTGGGATTAAGGCCTGCCGAATGCCCAGAGAGAGCTGGGTCCTATAGGAAAGGACCTGGTAGATGAGGTAGCACTTTCTTACCCAGCCTGGGTGGAAATGCAGGCACATGGTGAAAGAGCAAGAAAAAGTATCCTGAGATCTCCCCAGTCACCTTGGGGGATCCTTCGATTCTGTAGCCAAGGGTGGCTGCCTTTGGGCACTCGTGAGTCCCCTCCCTTCATTGAGTATGCAGCCAGAGCCCCTTCCTGGAGGATCTGCCACAGGCCTTCAGGGGCCAGGCCTCGGAGAGCACAGTTGTACTCCAGACTCAGGAAATCTATTCACCCCAACACAGCCTCCACTTTATAACTGTCTCTTCCTGTGTCTCTAAAAAGGAGAAGAAAATAGGGAAAGTTGAGAAATTGAACAGCAGTCAGCTGTAAAATCTTAATAATTATCTGTCAAGTCAGATCAACCATCAGTCAGAAAAAGGTTTTTAGCTACAATAGTAATTCTGGGTATCCATGGGTGGTTCTCCGCCCCTAACCCTGTCTTTCCCAGGCCAATGTTTTTGCTGAAGGAAAAGGAAGAGGAAATGCTACAAAGCAATGATGAGTTTACTTGCAGAAGGAAGCAGTACCAAGCCACTCAGAGGAGTGCGGCCCCAGGGATAGATAACCCCCGAATGTGGGGCAGTGGTCTCGTCACTCCTGGGTCACTCTTCCTGACTAGGGACACTCCATTGTGAAGGGTCTATAATGAAAGTCTTGGAAGGCTGTGTGAGAAGTCTCATCTGCCCGTCTGGGAGAAGTTTGTAGAGGAACTGGGCTATCTGAGCATGTCTGGCCAAGGTGCTACTGCGCACAGTCTGGGTTAGCTTCGTCTTGTTCATAGGGGGGCCTTCGCCACAGTGGCCCTGCCTGATGGGGGCCTACCCTACAATAGGTTACACCACCATCAGTTCCAAATGGATCGTAGTGCTAAATGTAAAAAGTAAAATAATGCAGCCTCTACAAGAAAACAATTTTTCTACCCTTTGAAACAGTTTGTGTAGGAAACAAAAAGCACTAACCATAAAAATAAGAAGCTGACAGATTGGCCAAGTATGGTGGTGTATGCCCATAATCTCTGTACTCTGGGCAGCCAAGGCAGGAGAATTCCACATTTGACTCCAGCTTGGGCAATTGTAGCAACTTAGAAGGACCCTGTTTAAAAAAAAAAATTATATATATATATATATATATATATATATATGTATATGTATATATATATCTCGCTCATATATATTTGTGGTTGTGTTAAAAGCTAAGGATATAGGTCAGTACATAGGCCTTCAGTTCAATGCCCAGTACAAGTAAAAGATGGATTTCAGTGCAATTAAGGACACCTTAAAAGTTGCCACTGACTCAGTGGTCTAAAGCACCTACTTGGAACAAGCTTGGCAAAGCACAGGGACCACGGTTCAATCCCCCAGCACCACATGCCAGCCAGCCCCGCCCCCTGGTGGACTGAGCTGGCCACACACAAATAAAT